CTGGAAATCGGTAGGTATTATCTTCGGTGTTGTGCTCGCTGGGATATTTTCCATGACTCATTTTAGTTAGAGTATTTCGTTTTTCCCAGTTTGTGTCGTTTATCAATTGTGCTTAGGGCTTAGCCTTCCAAATGCGAATCGAATTTTTTAGTTTTTATAGTTGTCCGGTTGTCGGTTGTCGGCTGTCGGCTGTCGGTTTGTCTGCTGTCGGCTTTCGGCTTGGCATGATAAGCTGTCTCTATCAATCAGCCATTGACTTATGTCTCTCCGATGGACTCTCGTGGCTCTAGGGCTTAAGTGCACATTGAATAGAAGATTAATTGACTTTAAACGATCCATTAACGAGTCCCACAATGTATTCGGGGCAGATAGCTGGATTACGTTAACACGAACTAACTACTCGTAGATGTATTATAAAATAAAAAAATTAGCCAAGTATATTAATCAGAAGAATCGAAAGCCCTTGCCTTGTTCTCCCGCTATCCACTACCAAAGCAATTGCTCAACACTGCCAAGCTGTGCTGTGCTGTGCTGCGCTCACAACACTGGCTGTGGCCTGGCCTGGCCTGGCCTGGCCTAGCTGTCATCTCTTGAGCTTTCTGAAATGCCATCCAATGCCAATCAAAATGTATGGTTTCTTTTTATGTTATTTATATTGGTTCGTATCGGTTCGTATAGGTATTGTTTTTTTTTATGTTTTCTTCTTTGAAAGTGGGTCAGCCAAAGGCAAAGCCAAAGCCAAAGCCAACTGGCAAACAGCAAATATTATGCTCTGAGGCTGTGAGGCTGCAAAGCTTTTAAGCGGAGAGCCAACAAATCGAGGCAGGCCGAACCGTACCGAACCGAACCCTTGATCTTCTGCTAAGCCAGACGCAGACCCATAGCTGGTTGGCTTTATTGTTGCCGATGATGTGTGAATAAACCCATAGATAAGTCAAGTGCACTACCCTTCAACTCGGGCATCGTATTATTGACACAACTGCTGTGTGTGGCATGACTGCTGTGTGGCTTTGTGGCTCTGTGGCTCTGAGACTGTGTGGCTCTGTGACTGTCACTGTAAACGTAACTGGAGCTATAACTCTGGTCTGGCAGGGACTGTGAGCATATTTTTTTTGTTTTTTAGCGCTGGAAATCCTAGAGGCAATTCCATTCGTCATTCTTCATTAGCGGCTGTCACTCGAGTCTCGAGTGGGCCGGGCAATAGCCAAATTTTAGTTGATACATCTTATCCCCCATATCGCATTTGGCCACTCAGAACTCGTTGCTGGTCGCTGGTCGCTCGCCGCCGCTTTAGTCATAGACACTAAATTACATTTTTATGTACGTATACCATGCCCATTGGGACATTCGAGTATTCCGGCAGGCATTTCCTGAGAAAACCCAAAATCTACCACAATTAAAAACCATAAAAGAAACAAAGAAGCAGGAGGGTAAAATCCCTCGTCTTTTCAGCGTAACTCAGCCTAATCATTGTCCAATATTTACGATCGGTAGCTCCGCCAAAAATCACAGTTCACATAATCACGCGCTAATAACTGCGATAAGATGGGGCCCGGCCATACGACTCACGCCGCCTCACTACGGCCCCGCACCGCACCGCACCCGGCAACGATCGCGCGCCCACCCCATCATCATCGATAGGATGAGCCACATGGAGCGAGCACTCCTCCGGCACCGCCACCGCCACCGCCTTCACACATCCGCCATACGCCATCTGCCCTTCGCCATTGCTTTCGATTGCCACGGACTACCGCGGCCCGTGCGCGGTTATTAATTAGAATTTATGGTCTGGCTATAGTCGGGCCCATATACAGACAATAAATAGCAATTGTATATGTTGTTGGGCCTGTCTAATCTAATCGCCGAGACACGAAACGCACAACTCTTCACGCTCGGCCAAGTCCAACCGCTTGACCGCTGAAGAGCCGCCGACGCGATCGCGTCAGGAGCCAGGAGCGGTCTAGCAACGATTCCATCGCCATGTAATGCCCATGCAATGTCCTGAGTCTCAAGCTATGATGGGATGGAATGTTCGCCTGTCCCTAAACAAATGTGGAGGGAAGCAAACAGAAATTTTAAATGGTAAATTTCGAAGCTCTTTGGGAAAATGCATTGCCTTCAACCGCTCCTGATGAAGCCGCCAAACGAGTGGACAGAAGCCACACGCCCCATAACCAATCGACAGTCGGCAATCACCAATCGGCAATCGGCAATTGGCAATCGACGATCGACGATCGCTCATCGATCATTGACAAACGGACATTCAAAAGCGAGCCGCACATTGAATCACATTAAATCGCATCCAGAGCCAGAGCTGCCAACGCAGCAACACCTGACATCAGGTGGCTGGCTGCTCTTCTGGCTATCTATCTCCGAATTGACCAGGCAAATCAAAAACAAAACCAAAAAAAAAAAAAAAAAAAATCAGCGTAACAGCAGAGCGCTGCTCTGCCTGTTCTGCCTGTGGTGCCTGCTCTGCCTGCTCCCTGTGTCGTCTCTCTATCTCTGTCCGATTATTTACAGTTAGCTCCGTCCAGGCGATAACCTTGCCCGCATATATCTTGGGGAGCTCTTGGACCGCCAACTACGATTACCACGACAAAGACAGCGACGCCCGCCGATGCCAGCGACAGCGACGTCGACGTCGACGCTGGCAGCGACGCCTGCCACTAATCACTCCAATTAGCTAGAAAGTGCTTTTCGTTTAAAATTCGCACGTTGTCGCATTTTCTTGGCATTGTACTACTAGGCTCTGAGAAAGCCACTTGGCCACTCCAGAAAAGTGATTTTTTTTTGTCATTCAATTGCGCTTAGTTTTTATTCTACAATTCCGTGTCCCAGAGGACACCCTTTTTTGCGAACCAACTATGTGAGTGACCAAGTGTAACAAACGATCCTATATCATAGCAGAATCAAACCAAAAAAAAACCTTAAAAAAAAACTACTCGTAAAACACACTCAAAACTCCCGCCAATTGGGAAGCTTCATTTGAACCCGTAAAAAGCAAAAGTGAAGCCAAGTACCGGGCCATCGAAAATAAGTATCAAAGAAACAACAACGAAATCCACTCAAATTCGAAGGCAAAGAAACTTCAATGTAGGCCCAACTGACCGAAAAAAAATCATAGACAATAAAATATACAAGCCACAAAAATACACAAAAATATGCAATAATAATACAAATCAAAAGACAAGAAGAGAAGAGAAAAATCAGCAGCAAAATTCAAAGAAGTTTCTTCTTCGTCTCCATATTCAATGAATACTTAAATTGTTGTGTAATTCTATTTGAAGTTGTGAAGTTTCAACACAAAAATCTGATCCACAATCCTTAATGGGCTGCGAAAGAGTATTCGCACAATGTGTGTGGCTGCCACACTTGGCTTAATCGTATAGCCAAGGAGGCAGCTTGGGTGAAGGGCCCAAGAAAAGAAACAAAAACGCAAGCAAGCGAAACAACCAACAAAATACAAAAAAAAAAAATAAATAAATAGCAACAGCTAAACAGAAAACAAAACTTTTGGCACAAGCCCATTTTGTAGGCCACTTAAGGCCCGATCTATACACAGAGAAGATAATACCGATTCAATCCGATTGTACATGCAGACATACAGGCATACCATAAGCAACTCATTTCGAAACGGACTTCAACAAAAAGAAAGGCAAATGTAGCAATGATGTTGCTGCTACAAAAATATACATACAAACATACATACGTATGTATGTATGTATGTATGTACTTTGCTTTAACACTGACGAACGCACTGACTGTCTGTGATGACTACTCTCCGCTCCACTGGGGGGGATATTTCGCTAGAATAATAATTGAAACTGAAATGGTTTTGCTATTGCTGTTGCTGTTGTATTTTTTTATTTTATTCTTAATGACGTTTGGCGCGTGTGGCGAGTGTTGCCTTTATAAAAAAAAAAAAGTCCACTCACACGCAGCAGCCATAAAAATCTTTGGCTCAAATGTAGAAAACTACCAATTGCTGACCAATTTCGGGGGAGACCAAATTCCTCTGATAATTGGCTAGTATCTAGTATCTACACACCATATAGATATTCATTGCAATACGAGTACGAATATATACATACATATATCTACAGTATTATTTATATAATGTTTGTCGGCACTTCTGGTTTGATGCCTGGCTCGTATCTGTCGTATCTGCTGCAATCAGGGAAAGTTTAAAAATATATTCAAAGAAATTAAATGCTCGCACGTGCTGCTCCAATACTATTTTGGCACTACAATAGGTTCTACTCCACTTGGAGGGGCTTGAGCTTGAGCTTGGACTTGGTATTGGTCTTGGGCTTGGTCTTGGGCCAGCTGTTGGCATTTGGATAATTAATTACTTAGCACTGGAAGCGTAGAAGTTTGTGGAAGTTTGTGGGGGCTGACGTCAGACTCAAACTTCGACTACGGCGGTAGCAAGTTCCTTATGTTTTACGGGTTACGGGTGTATTGGTTGGCCGTGATTTATGCTTACGGATCGTGGATGCTGGATTATTTATTAAAATCCCACCAAAACGACTGCGAACGACGTAAACTACGTCGCATTCCGACCCAATGTTCTATGGCCAATAATTTAGTCGCGTGTAGGCGGGCCCTGAGAGCCGAGTCTAACAGTTCCAGTCCCAGTCCCCCCACAGCTAAAGAGGAAGCGTAACAGATACAATCACACACTCACACGTTCGACTGTTGTTCGAGTTAGGAAGCGGCTAAGCAAAGTTAACTTCAGTTTAGTTAAGTAACCGCCCTGCTGAGGGTGCTCACGGTTACGGTTATGGAGCCGCCCGACTGCCCGCCCGCCGTTCGTGCTTATAATGTAACATTCACTCTGATATTTGACAGGCTGTGTCTGTGTCATTCATAACGGACAACGGACAACGTGTAACGGACAACGTGTAACGGACAACGGATAACGGGTAACTGGTAACTGATCAACTCGTAATGGCAATGATTCATAGGGTGACAGAATCCAGTCCGCATTTACTCAAATTCCACAATATTCAGACAATGTTTAGACAAAATTGTTGAGAATTCATCGTCCACTTGGAGTCTCTGGACCGGTGGGTATTAGCTGCAATTGCTTCCAGAAAAAATCATCCAACAACTGGCCATTCTTGTAGACATCATCGCCAGGCTGATTATACTTGAAGCAATTGTGAATGATCAGCATGAAGTCGGACACTGCCTCGCCCATATGGTGGTAGTAGCTGTTGCACATGCGTTGCCTCATGGTGCGTATGTCCATTGGCTTCGTGATGATCGTGTAGTATTGTGGCACACCAAGCAGCACCGTGTCCACTGGTTGCATGAACTCCGAGCAGAAATCCCTCCTGCACGCCTCTTCAAGTACGAATCTCTCAAAGAAATCCAACTTGTTTGTGTGCTTGCCCAAATTCATGGGCTCTGGCCCCACGTCCGGCTGCACAAGAGTCGGAGGATTCTCCCAGCTGGCCGGAAGCTCAGGCTGCAGCTGGAGCTGTGCCTAAGTGAGCGGACTCAACCGAGTGAAACATGTCAATGGGTCACTGTCAATGCCATGAATAGAATATATCTTACCGTCTGTCTCGTCATGATCCGTGAGCGTGGGGGGGGCGGGCCCATGGAGGGGGCCGGCACCGTGCGCGTCCTTCTCATCGTCTTGCTCACCTGACCGTACGGATACTCGATTCCCTTGGGAATGTCCATAATTCGCTTCATGAAATACTTCTCCAAGAACTGGCCACGCTCATGGACTATGCTCCCAGATCGATTGTACTGGAAGCAATTGTGAATGATCAGCATAAAGTCGGACACAGCCTCCCCCACATGATGGTAGAACTTATTGTTCAATCGCTGCATAATGGTGCCCAAGTCCATGGGCTTAGCCACGGTCTCGTAATATTCCTCTGCGTCAATCAATTCCAAGTCTACGGGGCCCAAAAAATCCACAGCGAAGTCCTTCTCGCACAACTCATTTAGAATATTTTTGCTTAAGAAATGCATCTTATTGGTGTACTGGCCGAAATTCGATGGTTGAGGATCCACCTCTGGCTGCACACATGTCTCCAGCTGTAGCTTGACCCAACCATTACCAGCAGCACGCCTGGAGGTAGAAGCCTGTGGATGGGCAGCTTGTAGAACGAAGCAGTACAGACTTGCCACATTAGTCTTAACATTACCATCGTTGTCCTAGTGCTGTTTGGTAGAGCTTTAGTAGAGAACAAACTAAGAGAGAGATATTTGCAAGAGATATTTGCTTTGAAAATTAATTTAATGTGAATTGAATGCTCTCTGATACTGACAGTTGACTTACTTACTGTCTGTACTGTCTGTACTGGCTTACTGCGATTTCCAGCTTTGATTTGAATAGTTTCATGATTTTTTTCCAACACTTCTTTCTTTTACGTGCACTGCTCCGATCAGTGTTAATTACTTAATTTATAAATTAATTCCATTAAAAAAATGCAAATTATGAACCAAAAATTATTAGGCAAGTAATAGCCTTTTCGCACTGGGCGCGTCTGCTATCGATATCGGAGTAGACGCAATGAAGCATTCCATGATACAGCTTACGTTGATCAACACTGGTGCGATACCCACCCAAGAAGAAGAATCAAAATCATCACAGTCACACTCACTAGTTTCTGCCCATGTCCATGTCTGCCCCATTTGCGCAGCTTCTATATCGTTTTCTCAATCTTCTTGATTGGATTGGGGGGGGGGCTGAGCTTTTCGATGATATGCATAAATGAATATTAATTTTTGTTTATTTTAAAAGAAACTCCGCTGATCACGATAGTCAACCATGGCACATTATAATATATACATACATATATACATATGTATGTGTGTATGTATTACATACATAAGTCATAAATGTTGCTGGCATATATTATGTATGTGGAATTCTTTTTTTTTCATTCTTTTTAGCAGCTATTATTAATATGTATAATCATTTTAAGAATCCCCGATGCCGATGCCAATGTCTGACAATAAAAAAAAAGTTTACCCAATTTTGTTGTTGGTTTTGTTGCCGGACACGAGGTTTCGGTTTGGTTTCCCCCTGGTGTGTTGTGTGCTGTGTGTGTTTCAGTCGCTTCAGTTGATGGGTCCGGATAATGGTCAGGTGTCCGTCTGCCTAATTTTCAATTAATTGGACATGAACTGGAACCACAGACAGTGTGGGTTTGGTAGGGGATTTGAGAGGGGCTATGGGTATCCCCCATGCTATTAAGAGACAATTAGACAATGGCAAGCGATGGGAACATAATCTCAGGAAAAAAACAGACACACACACACAGCCATAAGACTTCCCCCCCACCCAGAGCTGCTCAGGAAGAATGCTTCTGAATCTCAGTCTCAGTTTCAGTCGGACACGGCAAAACAGCAGATAGATAGATAATTCATTTGTTGCCAAATACTGTGTAGGTGTGTGAGTGTACGAGTGTGTCAGTCAGTCCGTCATTTGTTCAGTTCATCCAGTTCCATTTGTCTACGACAATTATGGCCTGGCAGGGTCCCGGGTCTGGGCAATTTCCCTAACGAAAACCTTTTTGTTGTTGGCTCCCTCGTATTATTATTATTATTATAATTATTATTATTGGTGCTGTTATTACCTCTGTGAAGCTTATATACGCACATGTATTTATGTATATTGTATATGTATATATATTATGTTCATGATCTGCAAATGGTTTTATAATCATCCAAATGCTTACATTTTTTTTTTTTATTCTTTTGTCTTTTGTCTTACAGCCGCACTCTTTCCTTTGGTTAATTGATTAACCAGCACACTCGAAAAAGGGAACGGAGAACGGAGAACACGGCAAGAGAAATCCAGCAAGATGACTGGTTTCACCAACGGCGGCTTCGAGAACGATGAGCCCGTCAAGGTGAGTTTTTTCGTACTAGTTTCTTGTTGTTTGTTATTTGTTACTTACTCTCGGACTGGTCCCAGACCCCCAAACATATGTACTTCTGAGTTCTTTTTTTTCGATGGCCAGCCAGCCAGCCAGCCAGCCATGAAATCATCGACTGAATCAAAGCCAAAATAAATCACACAGTTTAACTTAAACCAATTACTTTTGGCTGCAATTAAACTATACGCAATGGCCCATACCCTTCGCTGTTCACAAATATAAATATATAAATAGATCGAATAGATCGACATTTTGGCATATGAAAAGTCTTTCTGTCTTTAAATTTACACTGCAAATGTGCTAGGTATCCCAAGTACTTATCCTAGCGTTTTCTTAGACCAATTTTGTTCTTTAGAGGCCATTGAAAATGCCATAAAACTCTGCCATTTCAACATTTTTGTCACATTTTCTCATGGGTTTTTTTTTTAAGTTTTTGTTTTTGTTTTTTGGCTTCTTTTTTTGTCATTTATTCATGCATGGACAATGCCAGACCAGACCCAGACCGCTCTTATGTTGAATTTAGAAGGTATAATCGCGGCTTATTCTACTATATGTATGTATGTATGTATTTCTGTATGTAGATGGTGGTGCTTATGAGCTGGGATTACACTTATCCGAGTGTCTGCCTGGGTCGTATGCTTTGTGTGTTTGACTTTTTGAGTTTTGTATTGGATTGGGCCGTGTTAATGACTCTGTTTGCCTTCAGCAAAGAAATCATGTTTTATAATGAAACGCGTCGCATTATTCATTGTGGCCCAGATGAGGAGGAAGTACGGAGCATACGAGGCATCCAATAGGCCGGAGATGGAGATGGAGATGATGCTCGAGATGCTAATGATCATTGGCATGTTTGGCCAGTTGGCCAGTTGGACAGCTGGACAGTTGGCCACTCCTTGGATTTTAATAAGACGAAATAAATTTCACCTCAAGAAACCAAAAACCCAAAAACCGAAATCTGAAAACTGAATCAGCGCGAAAAGCAGAAAAAGAAATGTGACAGCAGAAAGAGCTTAACAAGCTCTCACACACGCACAGCAATACGTTAATATATACATACAAATGCTCATGTGTTTGGTGGTGTTCGTGTTTGTACAGAGCCGGCCAGTTCATCCGTGCGAGTGCTGCCAACTGATTCCTAAGATATTTGGCAATCAACGGCTCGAACAAAAACTAAATACCAACGAGAAGGAACGTGGCGAGTCGCTTCTGTGGCCGCGCCTTTACTTGTATACCCGGTTAGATCTCAGTCAGTATATAAAAATCTGTGAGCTTTTGATGGATTATGTTGGATGCCACAGAGTTTCATTCTTTGTGTGGTCAGAAGGGGGAAACAAAATTTAGTTGCTCTAGTCTCTTATAGTTTCTGAGAACTAGGTGTCAAACAAGACGGACGGACGGACAGACAGATATAGACTCGGCTTTTAATGCTGATCAAGAATATATTTATATACTTTATTGGGTCGGAAACTTTTCCTTCTGTGCGTTGCACACATTCACTTTTACCACAAATCAAATATGCCCCTTAACTCTTTTTTAGAGTACGGGTATAGAAACCAAAAAACCATTTGCACAAAACCGATTGCACAATTAAGCCACTGACAAGGTTTCATAATAAAATATTGCCAATTTAAAATTTACAATAATACCCTCCCCTCCACACCCCTCCGAGACCATGCCACGCACCTCCCTGCGCCAACCCAAGCCCAAACCCAACCCCACCCCCACTGACACTCACAGTAATCAGTTCTAAAAAACAGCAAACCCGTTTTCCTCGTTGTGGTCAAGAAACAGAACCACCACTGTTGCGGTTGTGGCTGTGGCTGTGGCTGGAGCTGTCAGAGAACGTCCAGCAGAGAGCGAATTTATGTACAAAAAAAAAAAAAAAAAAAAAAAAACCCACAACAAGAGACATGTAAAGACTTGCTGGGAGTGGCAGGAGCAAAAGTAGGTGCTGGGGCTGGGGCTGTGGCAGAGGCAGGGAAAGTGGCCAGAGACAAACACGAAACGTGCCGCGTTTAAAAATAAAACGTAAATCTCGTGCTCCAAACGCGCGTGCGCAACATGTTGCCGCGCACACACAGTAGGTCGCTGGCAACATGATGCCGATCACTGAGCGTAGACCGCCTCTAGGCGCATTCACACACACACACATACACAGATACACCACACAGCCACCCACAGTAAGCACCAACCACACCACTCACCTGGCAGCCAGCTGTAACTGGTTTTCAGCAGTTTTTGTTTGCTTTTCCCCAACTAGAGACGACGCAAGCCATCGACGCCACTGCCGCTGCCGCTGGCGTCGCGACGTCACGGCGCAGCCGCCACTCTCGCATATCATTATGAACCCTTTCCCCCCCCCCCCTGCCCACCACCCCACACACCTCTTTTGTACTAGCTCATCCATCTTATTATTTCGCAGCGTGCACTTGTGCTGTTGCTGTGGCTTTTTGCTTCGGGAAGCACCAGCTGTTGGCGATTAAATCTGCGCTCAACACACACAGCCAGAGACACATTTATGTACATAGCTAGGCAGACACCCCCAGAGACAAAGCCCAGTAGGCTTTATGCGTTGTCATGATCTGCTAAGGACCATTGCCGCATAACGGTTTCCCAGACACAGTTTCCAAAAGAGACACAGTGATAAATACCAACGAGAAGGAACGCTGCGAGTCGCTTCTGTTGCCGCGCCTTTACTTGTATACCCGTCCAGCAACGGTCCACGCACTAGCTGATTTAATTTCAGTTTATTTCTTAAACTGTTCAATTCCCCCTGTCTTGCCCTCTCTTGTGCCCCTTGTTTTTGCTACTACTATTAATTATATTCCAAATTTTGGTCAGTATCACTTGGTACCACTTGGGCGCACATGTCAGATGATTAATAGCCGTTCAAACTTATATGATATATGCATGAACATATCTCATTTGTGCAGCAGCAGTTCTGTGGCGCGTTGCTCGTAGCCCGGGACAACTTTCTGTTCTATACGATACAATACATATGTAGATGTATAGTCTGGTGTTTTTCCAATCACGATTCTCAGTACATTCGATTCACATTTAACGAGTAAATGCAACAATAAACAGGGCTACATAAGTATGTACATATGTATGAAAGTTCCAGGTACATTATACGTATAAGACTTATTCCCAATTGCTGTTGATATTTGCTGACGTTTTTGCTGCTGCGACGAGTATTACGTATTAAATGTTATTGATTTTAATGGATCCGTTTTATTTGGTTTCCTCCTTGCTCCCAATCTTTCCTTTCCGTACCCCTGTGGCTGTTTCACTTTTTTGTTTTTTTTTTTTTAAATCATTTAAATTAAATTTTATGATGCTGACAAGCTTTGGGGGACTTTTTTCGAATCCGACGAAAGACTGCCAGAAATTAGCATACAAACAAAACGGGCTTTACAGACGAGACACCACAGCCCCCAAGAGCCCCCCAAGAGCCCCCACCGCATCGTGTGAACAGCGCACTACCAACCACTAAAACGATATTGTTAGGCGAAAAAAAAATAACACTTAATCGAGTGAAACAAAGCTGTAATCGATTAGGTCTTGCATAACGACCACCACTACCGCCTACCCACCCACTCGGGTTTTATGATCATTTCCAGCCCATTGCCCCCATTGCCAGCATTGGTGTGCCGCCACCCTTCCCTTCCCGCCGCACTGCTCAATCACTTTGTCTTGGCCGATCGATGTAACCTTCTGGCCCTGTGCAGCGCATGCAAAATCAGCACATCGCGATGTGTTTCCTTTCGGCCAGTTCTCGGATCGATTTGAATTTTTGTGGGGCCTGGGGAGCATTTTTATGGCCATTTAAAGGCCGCATCACGCATGCGCCATGCGCCTGGCAAAAAGCGTCCGCGAAACGCGACCAAAACGCATGCGGCCTTTTCGAATTGGTTTTATTTTTTATTTTTTTTTTTGGATTTTTAGAAACTAAAAGCGTAAAATGCGCCAACACATAAATAATTAATTAATGTGTATTTTGTGTGCAGTCAGTCTGTGGAGTGGATGGAGTGGAGTGGAGACGACAAAATGAAAGCTAACGAAGAGAGTTTTGGTATTTTGGATACTCTTCAAAGATACAAGCTAGAAAAAAAATGCAAACAAACAAAACAAACAAAAAACATTATCAAAAATGGGAGTATAAATAATAATAAAAAAGGGTATAATAAATAAAAAGAGATTTCCAGTAGAATTTCCATATCCAAGAAATTTCCATAACAATAAAAGAGCGACAAAATGAACTGTATATATGTACATATATATGTATGTATGTATATGTACATATTTTGCTAAATGGCTTAAAAGCAATTCTGTATCGGGGTATCGGTGGATCGGGGGGAGCCATAATCGCATTAAGAAAGTTATGGCAACGAGCAAGAAAGAAAGTAGGATCATCCCCTCTCGCTTCTCGCTGCTTGCACTCTTTACTCCTTACCATGGACACAGTGGACCCACACACACACACACACACACACACACACAAACTGACGACAAATCCAATCCACAAATGCTGATCTTTTTTTTTTTTTTTTTTTTTTTTCGTTTATTTTTAGCCGAAAGCTGGTTTCGAGCCCGACACCGCCTCTCTGCGAGAGAAAGTTGTGCTGAATCCGGCCGAGAAATGGCGCATCTTAAAGAATATCTCGATCATCTCGATCGCCTTCATGGTGCAGTTCACCGCGTTTCAGGTGAGTCCCAACAACCATTTCCCGCCCCATCCCCATGCCCACTGACAGGTATGTTTCTGTTTCTGTTTCTGTTTCGGTTTCGGTTTCTGTAGGGCACAGCCAATCTGCAGTCGTCGATTAACTCAAAAGATGGCCTGGGCACTGTGTCGCTGAGCGCGATCTACGCGGCCCTGGTGGTGTCGTGCATTTTCCTGCCCACCCTCATCATCCGCAAGCTCACCGTCAAATGGACACTCGTCTTCAGCATGCTCTGCTATGCGCCCTACATTGCCTTCCAGCTCTTCCCGCGCTTCTACACCCTGGTGCCCGCCGGCATACTGGTGGGTATGGGCGCAGCGCCCATGTGGGCATCCAAGGCGACCTATCTGACCCAGGTGGGACAGGTGTATGCCAAGATCTCAGATCAGGCGGTCGATGCCATCATTGTGCGGTTCTTTGGCTTCTTCTTCCTGGCCTGGCAGTCCGCCGAGCTCTGGGGCAATCTGATCTCCAGCTTGGGTAAGCATCCATCGCACAGACACAGAGACAGAGACCCAAGCCTCTAACGCACTCTTCCCTTGCACAGTTCTCTCCAGCGGTGCTCATGGATCCAGCAGCAGCGCCAACTCAACGATCAGCGAGGAGGATCTGCAGTACTGCGGCGCCAACTTCTGCACCACCGGCGCCAACGGACACGGCAACCTGGAGCGTCCGCCAGAGGATGAGATCTTCGAGATCTCGATGATCTATCTGTCCTGCATCGTGGCAGCCGTCTGCATCATTGCCTTCTTCCTCGATCCCCTCAAGCGCTACGGAGAGAAGCGCAAGGGCTCCAACTCGGCCGCCGAGCTGTCGGGCCTCCAACTGCTCTCGGCCACGTTCCGTCAGATGAAGAAGCCGAATCTGCAGCTTCTCATCCCCATCACCATCTTCATTGGCATGGAGCAGGCCTTCATCGGTGCCGACTTCACCCAGGCCTATGTGGCCTGTGCCTTGGGCGTCAACAAGATCGGCTTCGTGATGATCTGCTTCGGCGTTGTCAACGCCCTCTGCTCCATCCTGTTCGGCTCTGTGATGAAATACATTGGCCGCACGCCCATCATTGTCCTCGGAGCCGTGGTGCACTTCACCCTCATTACGGTGGAGCTGTTCTGGCGGCCCAATCCCGACAACCCCATCATCTTTTACGCCATGTCCGGCCTATGGGGCGTCGGCGATGCCGTCTGGCAGACCCAGATCAACGGCCTCTACGGGCTGCTTTTCCGCCGCAACAAGGAGGCCGCTTTCTCCAACTACCGCCTGTGGGAGTCGGCTGGCTTCGTGATCGCCTACGCCTATGCCACAACGCTGTGCACCCGCATGAAGCTCTACATCCTGCTGGCGGTGCTCACGCTCGGCTGCATCGGCTACGTCATTGTCGAGATCCTCTACAGGAAGAAGGTGAGTGGTGCCCCCCCACAGCATCAACATCAACATCAGCCTCAGCCCAAAAGTAGGCACTCATTTACTGATACTAATTATCACCCTTTCTCCCCTTTCTCTGCGCCAACCCTTCAGCAACGCAAGGTCAAGAAGCAGGAGAAGCTGGAGGCTGCCGAGAAGGAGAAGGAGGCCGCGGCTGCCGCAGCCATTGCTGCTGCCGAGGCCAATGCGATCGACTGCGTCGAGGAGACCGACGACGAGCTGGATGATCTCGAAGAAGATATTGTAGTCACGCGCCTGTAATCGGAGCCATCGGTGCCGATAACTATGAACTGTTCGATCAATTGAATCGAGTGATCGATAATCGAAGATCGAAAGGAAATAAATCGTTGTATAGCCAATGGCGTACTTAGTGCATTGACCCCCTTCCCCCCACCATACCATATGCCTACCACCCCCCTCCCCCACTCCACCAAGCACTCGACACCACAGCCCCTCCTCCTCCAGAGAAAAAACCATTTAGCTCAAAGACCATCCCGAGACGCACACACACACATGCCACTCGATATGCATGCAGCCCCACCACCCCCCTCCCCACTCCAACGAATGTGTGTGTGTGTGTACTTGGGTAACTTTAATTTGTACATAAAAAGAGAGAACCGAAAGAGAGTGAGAGAGAGAGAGAGGAGAGAAAGAAAGAGGAGAATGACAGGCAAGAGCAGCCAGTCGAAGAGAGAGAATGAAATGAAAGCAAAATATGCGGAATACATTTGCATGTGTGTTAGTGTACGCACGATTCCACTCACACACATCACCACACACACGTACATATATGTACTGTACATTGCATATGTGTGTGTGTGCGGGCCCCTTAATGCCTAAACCAATTGTTATTTTATTTTAAATCGTATTTTAACTATAGTCTCTACCATAAAACACTTTTCATTGTAAATTGAGTTTTATATATACATATATATATATATTTTTTTTTGGTTCGTTGCCGCTGAGAAAACAGAAAGGAAAACGTGATATTCCGCAACACTCCCACACACACAACACACACGCACACACACACACGTACAGACATACAGTCACAACAAAAACTATGCAATCACATAGTGCAATTTTTGTAAACCTTAACTGGATCTACGAGTATAAATGAAATGAAATGAAATGATATGAAACGATAATGAGACGAAGCAGTGCAAAGTGCAAACCGTTAACCGTTAACCGTTAACCTAAACCGTAAATAATTATTATTATCTATAAAGAACGCAACAAATCCAGCAAGCAGAATGAAATATACACGATTTTTGCTCAGTATTATGTTTTAAACTAAATCTAAGTGAGTTATTGTTTCCTGTTTTTACCCATTTTTTTGTCGTGAACGATTATGACACTCTACTCTGGTGGTTTTTCCATTTCGCGTTGGCAGTTGGGGCCAGAGAACCTGCAAGGAACTCAATCGAAGGATCATCAAGAGATCCGATCGCCCCAGAGAAATCTACACACGCATATGAAAATACACACATATACATACATATATATATTTTTCCGTTTATTGAAACGCGTTTCAACTATATTTTAGTGCAAAAATATACACACACAAAAACATTGTTTACAACAAATTCAAAAAAAAAAAAAATAATTATTAATTTACACTAAATATTTTTTTTTTTTTTTTTTGCCTAGATTGTTAAGTAGTTCATTATATTATGTAAAATATATAAAATAAATAAATGAATATGAAACTAATTATTGAGAAAAACCTCATTGTCATTATCGTCGTGATTTAGCAATTCGAGTATGGAGCGGGGGGCCGGGGCGGGGGCTCGGTGAGCGGTGAGCCACGAACTGTGGCTGGAATAAGTCACGCTTTCAGCTGGCAGAACCGCCGCCTTATCTCGGATCCACGTAAGCGGTTGCTCCACCGCTAATTCGAAAGAAATATTTAAGTACGTAAGATGGGGGCTAACTTATGCTAAAGAGGCCTGGGGGCGGCACCTTTTCGTGCAGTTTTGTCCTAGAGGACAATTGCATCGTCCTCCTGGAACTGCTTGTTCTTCCGCCGGCGGTTCGACTTGATCTTGCTGAGCACGCTATAGGCCTGCTGGATCTCGATGAAGCGCTGGTGGGCCTCGGCGCGCAGTGCCTCGTCCTTGACCTTGTCTGGGTGATACTCCTTGGACAGCTTGCGGTAGGCCGCCGTGATTTCGGCCTGCGACGCGGTGGCACTAACGCCCAGCACTTTGTACGAGTTCCGCTCACCGTCCACATCCATGCTCTCGAATACCTCCTTCCAGGTCTCGTACCAGCCGTGATGCTGGGCGTAGTTGTAGGTGTCGTGCAGGGCCTGCTTGAGGTCCGTCCACCAGGCGGAGGCGAGAAAGTTGTGAAGGGCCTCGTGTATTGGCACCTCGCCGCCATCCTCGTCCGAAATGGTCCCGTTGAAGTAGACGAAGCTGCCCCAGAAGGTGCAGTAGATCAGAATGGCTCCCGTCAGCTTCAGGGATCGCACCACGGGTCGTCCCCGACGTGGCGGCGTTCGGCGCCATTGCTTTGAGATGCCGTCAAAGGTGAGGGCGGACACCAGCCCCGTCAGCAGCAGTGAGTAGGTCTCGTCGTAGATGAGGTACCGCGCTGGGTAGGCCAAATAGGCCGCCACGAGGCAGTGCCACCACACGCCCTGCTCGCGCCCAATGTTCCCAACCAGCCAGATGCCCAGGGAGACGAAGAGGGGAATAGCCCAGTGCAGGAAGGACAGGTCGAGGCCAGCCACAACTGTCTGCGGTATGGCCATCGCGAATAGCTGTCCAAACAAGTGGCCGATCATCACCTGGCCGACGAAGCGCTTGGAGGAGTACGGAGGCCGCTGAAAGGCCTGCAGCCTGGCCACGAACGCCTTGACGAATCGCGGGTCTTCGTTGGCATCCCGCACATACTCGGGTATCAGGAAGAGCTCACCCATCCAGCCAATGCCCATGTAGCCGCCCAGCGTGCAGCCCCAAATGAAGGCGTGACGATCGCGGTGCAAGTACAGATGATGCAGGCCGAAGATGCCGCCAAACAGCCAGAGAATGTACGCGACTACCACTGACTTCTGGGGAGGCAGGGCGTTGGCCTCCGCTGGGCATTCGCGTCCATTTGACTTGCTCTTGGTCAGCGATACCTCAGTGGGCGAGGGCGGGCGCGGTGGAGTGTCGTTTGTGTCCGATTTTGCCTTCGCTCTTGCCTTGGCATTGCCACCAGCAACCTGCTTCGGCGACACAGTCTGCTTGGTACCCATTTTCGGAGAAGAGATGCACTAGGAGCACTGGAAGGAATGATCACTTGATTTAAATACAAGTTCGAGTTAGAATTCGAGTACAAGAAAAACTCTGCTCAACTGACCCAATTTCCTCGTGAAGTGTGTCGTTGCGCACGCGCAGTTGGATGTGACTGTTCCAACGGTGCGGAGTGGAGTGGTGCGGATCGGGGAGCAACGGCAGCAGTCGGCGCCCAACTTTCTCTTTTCACAAATTCTACGCACGCAGCCAGCGCACCAAGAACTGACAGAGAACCGGTGGAGGAGGAAACAGTTACGGAGCCGCACTGATGCGTTTAATTTCTATTAGTTCCTTACGCCTTTTATGCACGCTGCGAATTGAACTTTGCCATTAAATGCAACACAGAGAATAAGCTGCACTTTTTGTTTGCTAAGGCCAGAACCACTCTGTTGTTGTGCTGACTGTTTTTAAATCGAAATCTCACTCTGCTGCGACGAAGGCAGAGGTTTAAAAATTGAAGCAGCCGCTCAAATGGGCTAACGCGTTTTCACAAATACCCTAGCCAGGGCTGCATACGCACAAATGGTAAACATTGGAACTCTGTTCCGTTCCATTCCATTCCTCTGTTTGATTGAACTGTTTTTTATTATTAATTCACTTTAGTTTTATTATCTTTATTTTTGTTCTCAAAGTGCCTATATGCACATGCATATTAAGTATATTAATGCTTACACGCTTACAAATTAATTTCATGAAATTTGACACGAGATTTGCTTTTGACCCTGGATGGGATGGTCATCCGTATTTGATGTACGTTTGATATACACGTGAAAAGTAGTCGTAGTAGGGTTAAAAGTCTTTAAATTAGATTTAACTTACAATCGAAAATTGAATTTGAGCAAAAACACTCTTCAAAAGCTCTTAGCAATTACAGTTTTTTGTTTGAGAATTTTTGCTGTTATTTTGCTGCTGTGGCATTTGCTTTGTAATAATACTTTGATTGGGTTAATAAATAGTTGACAAAAAAAACGTCTAGTCCTAAGGTTCCTGGACCTGTGCCGGGCCGGGAAATCATGACGAATAGATTGATGAGTGTAATTGTAGATGTTCCTGCCGGTGGACGTGGACCTGCACCTCTAGTTGTTCTTCTTCTTGGGCTTCTTGGGATTGCGGGAGCGCGACTTGGCCTTGCAGAGCGGGCAGATGGGGGCATTTCGATGGATTTGCTGATGGCACGACAGGCACGACTTCATCGGTGGCGGCTGCTGGCGGAGATTCACGTTGAAGTCCGAACGGAACGACGGATGGTGGCCGATTCCAATCGACGGTGTTTGCTGAAGACGATTTGTTGGCGGAGGTGGAGGTGGCGGAGCCGAGAAATCGCTTTTGCCCAGACGCACAGCGGCCGCGGCGGCAGCTGCTGCAGCCCCAGCGCTGCCTGCTCCAGGCGGGGCTGGTGGCATAAAGGCGTGCCCTGGTCCACCGCCACCACCACCGCCGCCTGCGTTCACCGAGCTGCTGCCGCCGCCACCAGACGATGCACTGGGGGGCATGGCGGTGACCGTGGCCTCGGGCATCAGGGGATGACGAGCGTGTGGGCGAGCCAGGGATGTTGGCTGCGCGACCGAAGCTGCTGCTGCTGCTGCGGCGGCAGCCGCCGACTGGGCGGCCACCTTGAGGAAGTTTGTCTGGAATCGATCCTTCGATATGGGGCTGCCCTCCTCCTCGTGCAGGTCGCGCAGCGGACTCAGGCCGAGATAGTCACGGCGCATGTGATCGATTTGGTACTTGAGGGCCAAGTACTCCTCGTAGACGCGATTGGCCATGTCGAAGGATCGCGTCTGGTTTTCCTTTGTCTGCTTGATGATGTTCTCCATGTCGTTGATGTCCGCGTGGATCTGGCGCAGCTCCTCCACGTGCGACATCTTCTCCTCGAGCAGGTGCTCCATTTCCTTGCGGTACTCCTCCAGACACTTCTCCTCGTCGTCGCTCAGCTTCACCTCCTTGATGATGCGCACCTTAAGTTTCTCAAGGGACAGCGTCTTGTCCCGTATGTCCTTGATGGCTTCTAGCTTGGCGTAGTAGTGTCGCTCGTTGGAGCTGGATATCTCGCTGGTGGCCATTTTGTGTCCGTGTGGGCCTTGTGTCTGCCGTGGCTTCCCCTTCTCCTGCCCCTTCCACTGAGCAAATGTTTATTCCGTTTGCTTTCTCGTGCCGCGCTGCGATTGGGATTTTCGCTGGAGCTGCGCTGCGGGCATCAACGTAGGCTGGTGTGACTTGCGAACTTGTTCAATTCCGAAACTTTTAAATTTAATTCTCTGTTAAAATCTCTGTTTATTTAGTTTTTTCGCTTTCTGTATGTGATAGAGGTGTCAAACCATCGAGGGCACTATCGTTAGTATCGATATTTTACTGCTAGCCTCTACTATCGACGGTTTTGCGACTATCATGATAGTATCGAGCTACAGTCGTTGCGCTTTTGATATGTTTGAATTGGCTGCTATAAAATACGAAGACACATTTGTGGACAAGTGGACAAGTTCCCAAAAGGTTTCAATGGTTTTTTAATAATTATTTGAGCCTGATACTATCACGATAGTATCGATTGTTTTTTTCAAAACATTCAAAACGTTCGATGGCTCAACTATCAATCGTTTGACAGCTCTAGGCGGCAGAGTGACCGCAGCCCTATCGAAAAAATATACCGTCTCTTTTTTTAAATATTTCGTAAATATAGGGAGAAAAAATTAACTTCGATATATCGATAGTGCTATCGATTGTTTTTACAGAAGTAGTGATAGCATAGCCCAACCGCGAAACAGTAGATTTTAAGACAAAGAACCGAGAAAAGCAAACTGATGGTTGCAGATCTGGTTTCCGACATTTTTCTGTTCTGTTCTGGTCATGATTTTCCAGCGTGAGGTGCGCGTTGCGGTTGTGTCAAGTGTTGTCGTTGTGCCAAATCCATTCCAGCGACCGCCGATCGGATCGCCAGTCGCAGATACAACAATGCGTTTGAGTGTGTGTGCGTAAGTGTATGCGTGTTCCTGTACGTGAGACATTCCGAAACTTATTCATAAATAAACGAAACGAAACGATCGGCGGAAGGTAATAGATGTACGCGTATTATGTGAAGAGCCGCCCCGCAAAAATGTGTCAACAGGAACTACTAGTGGTGTGGAATCAGCCCTAGCGTATCATATTTTGATCTTCCGACGAAAATATCCTCCAGATACCAGACTTGTTTCTCACTCGGGCCATTCCGTTGCGTTCCGCTTTGTTTTCATTTTTTTTTTTTTATTGTTGTATCATTTTTTTTTGTTTGTTTAATACGAAAAGCGCATAAAACGGATTCGGAACTTTGATTCGACGCCAACAAGCGAAAGGTAATGTTGTTGTATTATTTTCATCAAACCTGTAACACCCTCCATCGAGCACCACCCCCTTGCCTATGGGAGTGTTTACATATCTTTCACCTGCCCAATTCGTGGGCTCCTGAGATTTACATATGAATATGAATATCTATATATACAGCGCTCTATGCATGTCCCAAATAGACAAGAGGTAGAAGGAAATTCCCGTGCTGTATTAGAGTAAACTACCAGCAAATATGTACAGATGTACATCTATGTATGTATGTAGGTACCTCTCTGCGCCCGCATATTCCCATTTTGTGATATTTTTCGATACTTAATATTGGCAAATGGCCTGGAAATACTCTATATTGGAAAAGGGCCTGGAACTACTCCATTGTAAAAGCTTCTAGCTGCTTATCGCTACAGTTTTATTGCCAGAATCAGAGCCAGTGCCAGTGCCAGTGCCAGAGCCAGTGCCGGGCCAAAAAGATAGCAGTGGTCAGCGTCGTCACCTGGGTGACACAGAACGGTGGCCACAAGTGTCTCTTGGCGCGTCTCTCACACTCTCTCTCTCTCTCTGTATCCACTAACGTGGCACATTTCGCTGGTGCTGTCTGTCCGTCCGCGCCTCTTAATTGTTTGGCAATTTAACCAATTATAAACATATTAGGTTTTCTGGCACACATTCACCGAAGAAACAGAAACATTCCGAATACTTTTACTCATGCTCTCGTATCTGGCTTTTATACTATAACACTGATATCCGACCGTCATTCGAGTATTGTGGCTAGATACGGCCCACGACTAATAACTACATACATATAGCTACATATTTATGTCGACCCAATTGATTTGACCGGGTCCCCTGAACAAGTTCGCATCGCATTGGGGTTCATCGATTTGGATGATACTGTCTGCAGAACAGCAGTTAAAGATTTGTGCTTTGTCAGCTAATCACTGGTCAGCCCCCCTACCCTGGTCCTCCTCCCTCAAAACAGAACATTGGTCCCTTGGTCAGCGCCTGCGCGACATCCACATTTACATTTACATTTGCATGCATACATATGTATGTATGTATGTATATCCACAAGCAGCGCGACTGTGTTTGTGCGTGTGTCTGCGTGTAGATCAAATCACAAATCGATGGAGACTTACTTGCTACATACTGAATGCGACAAAAAATGCCGTCAAGCAACTTGGAAATCGAGTCGCTCTGGCTGGAGACTCTCCTCCGTCTTATATAATTGGGGCCATGGTAACGTTATGCCCACAGAGTGCCCGGCTGGCTCTGTGCCCATTTCCTCTGCAACTTGTCCGTCTTTTTGCACTGTGCTCAATGAATATGACCCTCGTCGGGAAGGGGGAACTGGTAAGGGGGAAGTGGGAAGGAGGAAGGAGAAAGAGGAGCTCAGACGACTCAGCTTTTTTTTTTAATGTGCTCTCTTATCGAATCGAAAAGCATAAACAAATAACTGTTTCCACTCTTGTTCAGTTCATCATTGCCACATACAAACATGCACGCAAACACAATGCAAGTGCATACACATGTATGCAAAGAGTATGTGTGTATGAATGTAGCTGTTGATCTATTGAGAGTAGAGTGCTGCAGGCATTACCACCGACGCTCCAAATACGATTATCAGCATTTACGAGTACTCCTATGGGTACACTACATTCACTCCCTCTGCTGCTACTGCCATAAAAGAGAAAGAAAGAACCAGACACTGTAAAAACAAACAAAACAACAAACAAAAACGTGAGAGTGCAAGTGATTCATCCAAATAAGTATGTATGTATGTATGTATGTAAGATCCAATTGCACATTCCCATTCCCCTGCATATAAAAATGCATATGAAGGCAGATTCATTTGACATTGTTTATGAGATTGACACACATACATACATATGTATGTATGTATATATGTATGTATTTTCATATTTTGTTTTGGCAAATGTTCTCTCACAACGGAACCAAGCTCAATTAGAGTTTTTAATGGTGCTCTGTGGGGAAACACACCAAAAACGAGAGCAAAGGTTCATGTATGTATATATATAATAGAACGGTGAATGTGCCATATACACATTGACAAATGTAACTCGTAATAGTATTCCCCATATTTGATAACTTTTATAACTTTTTGATATCCAAATCCCAAATCCTCAATCATAAACTTTTCTTTGCGCTGGTGCGGAAGTAGAAATGTTTATTTAATTTTAAAACAAAATATTTGTGAAACAAAAAAGAACATTGTGAGCCATAACATTTAATCTCGAAATCTCAGCCAATTACAAAATTTCTTCAACAGATTTTTCTTGGGAATGAATTTGGAAAATGTAATTGGACATTTGGCTGGAATTTCTGGTGTGTGGTGTGCTAATGAAAAGCTGATAAGCACGGGGCCTGGGTCCCACTTAAAGCTCTGCCATTAGTTCACTCAAAGCTCTGAGGAATTTACTCCACAATGGGAGTGCGAAAAAAAAGTTAAAACAGAGATCTGATTGCGAACTTGTGGCAGGCAGGGCAGGGCAGGGCCTCTGTCCTCAAAAGGTTTACATACTTACATACATACATATGTATATTTCTGTACATGCATACATCATCAATTGATGTATGATGATGAAGGAATGTATTTTTATTGTACATCAATTGCTGTGGATGACTGATGGGGGGGACAGTAGACAGAGAGTATAATTATTATTGTTGGTTGAGGCGATCGTCATTGTCATTGTTATCGCCAGCTCTGCCCAGCTAGCCCTGCCTCTTTGGCATTATAAATACACCAAACACATACACATACATACATGCGATATCGGTATAGCTGTATTTGCGCTTATATGTGCGACTATTAAGGTGCGAATCGTACTATCGCAGCGAGACTCCCCCCATGCATACCCCCAACAGAAGACACGAAAGGCGACACCAAAGGAATGCGCGTGGTGGGGCGGCCTGGTGGATGCAGCTGATCTGCCGGGGGAAAAAAATAGCAGGATGCCAGCTCATACATATGTACATATCTATGTACATGTATTATGTATATGCATACTTGTATGTATGTATGTATGTAGTGACCGATCTAACGTGACTCACCCGCACCCGCACTCACAATCACTGTGAACAAGTTTATTTATCCAAGTAATCCAATGGGAAGCGCAACACTCGCACGAGTACATGCAAAAAGGGAAAACAGAATGCGAATGCGAATGGGAATGGGAATGACTACAATGGGTCTACTTAAACATTTATAAACAAAATCATTGAGCACTGCAGAAAAGGGAAACGTCAAGCGAATCGGGCAATCAGACAGGGGCCAGTGGGAGGGGCCAGAGGAGCCTAGGGCGAAGAGAACTCTCATTTAAAGTGGAGAGCGACGACCACTTAAGCGACAACGACAACAAATTGAACGCCATCTGCCTGCTGGCTTTGATGAAAGTTGAAAAGTTCAGGGAACTGCAGCCACATCACCACCGGACAGCCAGAGAGAGAGAGAGAGAGAGAATTAGTAGTGGGTACATATGAGGGAATACCCCAACTCAATAGCAAGTACATAAATACATATGTACATGCATGTGTACATATGTAAATGGTGGATAAAATATCAGTCTTATTGAGCATAAACCAATTTTGGACTTTCCCTGATTTCCAGCTGCGGAAAATGCTCAGAAAGAAGTCCAGTCAGCAGGAGTCCAGTCAGGGGCTTCCGTGCGGCGCATCTTTGGTCCGCTCACAGCTCAAATAAATATTCAACAGAAATTGATAATAAAACAAAACAATAAAGAAAACGCTGACTTTCAGCGTTTGGTTTAGCGGAAAGTGAAAGTGATATGAGCGAAAATCGGCGAAAATATTTGATGACTGATCGAACCGAAGCGATTGTCGATCGTTGATCTAATTGAGTCAGAGAGCCAGAGAGCCAGTGAAGTGAAGGAAACACGTGTCTTTGATGTGTCTGCAGCCGTCACAGTAGATCATCGCTTTGTGCTTTATATTCATAACGAAAATTGTTGATAGTCCCCAATAAGCTTCACTTAAAATATGCAATGCAAAAGCAGGCCATCCCCCGTCCCCCTGAATATAAATAATCTAATCTGTAAATCTAAGTAAATGATAATGAGATAATCGTCGGGCAGAGTCGCTAATTGGAGAACTGCAGCCGCCGCCGCGCAAGGGCCAATCGCATCAGCCTGCGCTGCTGCAGCTCGTGCAGCTGCTGCCGGACGAGCAGGCGGTGCAGCAGCTCCACCTTGGCGTACTCCTCGGCCCTGCGCTCCAGCAGTCGCCGGTGCTCTGCAATCCGCGGATCGATGCCATTCGAATCCTCTTCTGGGGCGGTGATCTGCCTGCTGGTTCGCTCTGGTCTCTCTCTGGTCTGGTCGTCGCAATGGCCTTGATAGATGCTTCGCAGAAGGTGCATCAGTAGGCGGACGAGGGTGAGCCAAAAGGTGCGCGACTTTTGGACAAATTTATCAGAGCTCTTCTTGGTCATCCTGCTTGCTTGAGTTTATGCGATCGAGTGTGAGTGCCAACCATTCAGATGGAGATCTTTATACCACTCTACCACGGCTCTACCTTCTGCCTTCTTACCTGTATTAAATGGCCCTCTCTATCACACTCACTATTCTCCTTGAACCCTAGAAATTCCACACAGGTAATCCCTCAAGGGCCAAGGGGGTTACCTGTACCTACATATATCTATTTACCTGTACAATGTACGATATAGTGATATCCCCGCCGCAATAAAAACAAATAAAATCCCAAGCCTTTCTCTCACTTTCAGACGCCTCTGCCATGGAACAGGCGCGACCTGTGCCAGCTCCGCGGCGCCTCTGCTCCGAGCTGCGTCCCACCAACTATGAGAACATCGAGATCAAGCCCAACAACAACAACAGCAATGCCACCATCAGTTTCAAGAGACTGAATATCAACGCGGAGAACCTGCACGGCCACTGTGCGGAGAAGAAGCTGCCGGCAAGTGGCCAGAACAAGCTGCAAGTGCTGCAGGAGAACAACGCCGAGCAGCCGCAACCCATCTACGGGCCCGATGCCAACGAGAATGTCCCGACAGAACCAATCTATGCCGCGCCCCGACCAGCGCCAAGACAGCGACCCCCGCCGGAGGAGTCGCCGCCGGTCGAACTCGATGCAGATGTAGATGTGGACGCGGTTCCTTTGAGAGCGGTGCGAGCAGCACCCCAGGTGCCGCCCAAGCCGCCCAACCTGGAGCAGCGCTCATCGATCTGCAGCGAGGCGTCCACTGCTGGGCAGCTGGGGGGGAGCGCGTCTTTCTACGGCTCGAATGCCTCGCTGGACTGCAGCTCGCAGGGCTCGCAGAGCGGCAAGTTCAAGTCGCAGTCACCCGGGTACGTAGACGACGTTGATGGCGTTGATCAGCGGGGGCAGCCATTGCCGGATGATTCCTCCGCCCCGGGAACACCTCCGTCACCGCCACCACCTTCGACATCTTCATCGACGTCGCTCGATCAGTCCTCCAGCTGTGATCAAGATCAAGATCACGAAGATGACAAGTAAACTTTACCGAAATGTTCTCCTTATAAGACTATCTATCCCCCTTTCCTTTCTTCTTCTCTTTGGTGTTCCTCTAAACGGTTTCCCTCTAGTTGCACCCTCCCTCATCCCCCCTAGTTCTTGGGCCCTTCCCATCCTCCCTCCCTCCCTCCATAGTTTGACTAACCCAATTGAGATCAGGATTTTGGCTAATCCTTTAAATTTTCCAGGTTTCGGTTTCGGTTTGGTGGTTTTTCCCCCCATCTACGGTTGTGTGGTCCCTAGGGTAGACCATCTCAACGATCTCAGTTTTTAAAATTATTTTTGCATTATAAATAATTCTATTTTGATTTATGCATAGTACATACATATGTAGTACATGGGTAAAGAGTGTTCACTTTAGTGAACAACTCACTCACTTTGCTCAGTTGCTCACTTGCTCACTCAGTTGCTCACTTGCTCACTCAGTTGCTCACTTGTTCACTCAGTTGCTCACTTGTTCAGTTGTTCACTCACTTATTCAGTTTTTCCCTGTTCCCTAGCCTGCGATACACAAGACAAAATTACTTTGCAGATCTTACACTTGGCCGTCTTGGTCGTCCAAATGATCAAAATGATCCCAAATCGAACGTAATTTGCGTTTAAGAGACATATTTAGTGTTTTCTATTAAAATTTGCTAATTCAAAGCAAAGACGCGACGCGTCGCGACGCTATAAGAAAAGTTGCCACACAGTTGTTCATAGAAACAATGTTGCCACCGTGTTGACGATTAAGCCCCTTGTTCCAACAAAATTTAACCGTTAAACAAGTGAACCGAATTTGTATCTGAACAAGTAAACAACTGAGTGAACAATTGAGCAAGTGAGCAACTGAGTGAACAAGTGAGCAACTGAACAAAAATATAGTGAACATGTTTAGTTCACTCACTGAAGTGAACAGCTCTTTTTTGTTCACTCACTCATGAGCAACCCAACTCTAATATGTATGTACATATTTGTGTACATAGTTTAATATTTAATTTAATTAATGCACTCTTTTATTTTGCAATTTCCACCCTCGGAGCTCTCGTCTATTGTTAAACATTTTTAAATCTAAGCGTCCAAATTCGTAGTATTCAAATGGCAGGGCTTTTTTCTCTGGGTGTACAGGTACAGGTACAGGTACAGACCTGTTCTCTGAACCATGTTTCATTTATCGATATCTTTGAAACGAATGGAAAACAAAAAGGAACGACGTTGTGAGTCGAGTCGCTGCTGTGGCTCAGGCAGCATCTTGGTATTGTTTAGTCTTTGGTCTTTGATCTAATATACCCCTTCGACTAACTTCGACTTCGACTACGGGCATAATAAAGATGTAGAGTTCGAAAAAAGCGCGCATTGAGTGGTAGGCAGATTCATCTTAGGCGCCAGCGCATTCCATTCCCAGCATTCCCAACCAATCCCATTCCAATAATAATTATATTCCCGATGCTCGTATTCACACAGTCAGGCGCACACACACACACACCCACACACATTGCACTAGTATTAATTGGTTTTCATTTACTTACCAAACGGGAATGGGAATGGAACAAACCCCCTCTGGGACTCGCTCTCTCTCTCTCTCTCTGCCACAAACAAAACTAACTTTCTCTCTCTCTCTCTCTGTCTCTCTTAGGAATCTGCTGCGATCCTTGGGCACCACCTCGAAGCTGCTGGGCGAGGCCATTGGCGAACGGATCACGTTCAGGGCCAAGGGGGCCAAGAAGCGTCTGGACAGGAACCTGAAGAGCTCCACGGAGGCGATCAGCAATCTCAGCGCGGACGCCGGCAGCCGTTTGAAGAATGCCAGCAAGCGATTTGGCTCTAACTTCACCCTGGGGCCCAGAGGGGGCCGGGAGGACAGAGCGGAGGTTGGCGAGGGAGGAGGGTCCGTTGGGCAGTTGGACCTGGAGCGACGGCAGACCATGCCCAGCACGGAAGTCTTCAACACGATACAGTTCTCCAGTCCCCTGAGCCGCAATGTCGGAGGCGGAGGCTTCACCGACCTGCGGGATCAGGCAAAGGTCAAGGATGAAGGGTCGCCAGCTGGGGGGGATGGAGCCGGCGATGACGGCTGCTATGAGGTGCCCAAGGTGCAGGGGAAGCCCCCCAGCTACGATGAGGCACTGCGGGCACGTCCCTCCCCACCTCCTCCGCTGGCCAAGAATCTCTCCCAGGAGCTGCCTCCAGCCGCCCAGCAGACCCAACAGACCCAACAGGTCCAGCTGCGGTCGCAGCGTGCCCCGACCCGCGTAGATGACGCATCAACATCGTCTACGGCCACGTCCCTGCCGATGCCCGCGTTCCCCCCGCCACGACTCTCCCAGCAGCCGGAGCAGTTCCGGCTGGACGCACTGCAGCCGCCCGTGCGGCAGAAACGCCGCAAGAACTACGAGCACATCGAGCTGCGACGTCCCCCCGTGGACTCCGCCGATCTGAAGGAGCTGAATCGAGTAGCGGCGGCTGCGGAGCGGGAGGAGTCCCTGCTAGTGTCCGCCAAGATTGCCGCCGAGGAGGCGCGGGCACCCAAGCCAGAGCGCAGCGATTCCTGGCAATTCTACGGCGAGGATGGCCATTCGCTGCAGGGTGACGAGGAGAAGCCGCAGGACGGGGGAGACTCCTCCCCGGAGCCGGTCTATGCCAACCAGGAAGCCACCTACGGGAAGCTCTTCGAGATGGCCACCGCGGGCAGCAGTCGCAGCTGCAACTTGCTGATCCCCAACCAGCAACAGCAGAGCCAGCAGCAGGAGCTGTCCTGCATCAGCGAGGATGGGGAGCTGGACAGCAGCGACGGAGCCGTCGGTGGATGGTCGGCGCCCCAGGAGCTGATCGAGGAGTTCGATCCATTGATGAGCAGCAAGTGCTCGACGCTCTCGCGCTCCAACAAGAGCAACGAGCTGCTGCTGCTCGAGCACCTGCTGGAGGAGGACACCTACGGCACTGTCAAGCGGGAGAGGGAGCGCGAGGGCGAGCAGGACGATGTGAGCATGTGCACCTCCGAGGAGGAGCCGCCGCCGCCGGCAAGTGGATGTGGCACGGCAAGTCGACGCCAGCCCCAGATCGTGCACCAGAATGCCCAGTTGCTGAGCGACAGCATGGAGAATATGCTCGACCAGGAGCAGGAGCAGCTGGAAGCACGTGCCAGGCCCTTTCTCAGCAGGATACCCGAGGGGACCGGCAACAGATCCACGGTGGACTTGGCCAGCGTCTCCAGGAATCGCACCAATTGGTTTGTGGCAGACGGCGGCACACCCGCCACACCCACAGCTACAGCCACAGGCACAGACACAGCCACAGCTACAGCCACAGCCACCTTCTGCAGCAGCAGCAGCAGCAGTAACACAAAAGCGGCCCTGCCCATCGAAGGGGACAGCCCACCCACCTACCTGGAAGCCATTGGAGGAGGAGGAGGAACAGGCACACAGAACCCGCCAGTGAGCAGCGAGTCACGTTCGACGCTCAGCTCTCGTCTGCGTAAGACGATTACCACCTTCTCGAGCGTCAAGCTGCGCATGGATGTGATGAAGAGGCGCTCCAGCTTCAAGAGGCAGTCGGAGGTAAAGGTGGCCCTGCAAATGGTGCCCAGGCCGAGTCTGTCGCCGCTTCTGGTGCGCTACGAGGGGCCCCTGGTGCGATTCCCCACCGGCGTGGTCGAGGATATACTCAAGGAGATGCAGAACCGCAAGGCCATACTAAGGGACCGCCAGTTCCAGACGTTTCTCGACCAGGAGATGAAGACGCCAAGAGAGTCGATACCCCTGGACACCATAACGACGCTGCAGTGCGTCAGCAACAGTCGTGTCACGGACACGGCCACACACTTCTACTGCTTCGAGATCACGACATCGCAGCCGAAAAACGGTGGCAGCAACGCCAGCTGCAACGGAGCAAGCGACTGCATGTCCTCGAATCCGAATCTGGTAATGACCAGCAGCTCGTCGGGTAACGTCAAGCAGCAGCGGCTCTCCCATCTGTATGGCGTGGGCAAGGAGTCCGAGCGGGGCGTCTGGATGCAGAAGATCCTCGAGAGTCTCACCAACAGCATGCCCGTCAAGTACACCTGCCACTACTACCGTGCGGGCTGGTGTTACCTAAAGGTATGCATTATGCATTCCATTCTCATAATGCATTCCATTCTAATCTGTAACGTTGCGCTGCGTTCTATTTCAGAACTCCATTACATCAGAGTGGAGTGGCACATGGCTGGTGCTGCGCAAGAGCCAGCGTCGTCTCATCTTTGTGAGCGAGGCCACTGGGAATGTTGAGAAAATGGACCTGCGCAAAGCGCGATGCATAGGTAAGGATAAAGCCATAGAATATATAGAGCCCCCCCCCCATTGAATTCCCCTCTCGAATAGTGCTCAAGGAGAGCGATGAGTCCATTGACAACCTGCACGTGGGCAGCGGGCCAATGCTGATGATTGACTGTCCGCCGTATGCTGTCTACATGATCATGAGCTCGGCACGAGAGACAAAGATCTGGCGTCACATCATTCGGGAGGTGGCCCACAACAACGGCTTCTCGCTGGGGGATCAGCAGCTGACGCGCTACGATGTGCCAGTGATTGTGGACAAGTGCATCAACTTCGTGTACATACACGGGTCCATGTCGGAGGGGATCTACCGCAAGTCCGGGTCGGAGAACTCCATGCACAAGCTGATGAGCGCCTTCCGGGCGGATGCCTTCAATGTGGAGATCACCCGCAACGAGTACAACGAGCACGACGTGGCCAATGTCCTCAAGCGGTTCATGCGCGACCTGCCCGAGCGCCTGCTCGGCAAGCTAACCGACAGCTTCGTCTTCGTCACCGAGCTGGATGTGGCCGCCGAGAAGATTCCCATCTATCGCGAGCTACTCGCTCGCCTCTCGCCCATCGAGCACGAGACCTTGCGCCGTATCGTGGGCCACCTGGTGTTCATTAGCTCGCAGCAGACGAAGAACAAAATGAGCGTTCAAAATCTGACCATGATCTGGGGCCCAACGCTGCTGGCCAAGAAGGTGGGTGGTGGGTCTTCTAGCTACTCAATGGCTGGCATTAATATCTCTATCTGTCTGTTATCTGCTGCTCCCATAGAGCGATGAGCTGATCTACTCTCAGAAAGAGGCCGATGTTCTCAGCGATCTCATTCTTCTGTACAAGAACCTATTCCCCGTCAGTGCCGATGAAATTGTAAGTTGGAACGCGAACCCAAACGCGAACGCCAGAACCTTTTAATGTGACAACACTTTTTTATGTATACTCGATGCAGAAACGGGAGCAGGCCATGCTGGCATGCCTGCAAAAGTATTATGCCGCCGCCGAGACGCTCAAAGATGCGGTTAAGCAGTCGGGGGACATTAAGATCTGGATCAGCCTCAATCCGAATCCGGACAACATTACAGAGGTTTGGCATCCCTGCCATCCCATCAATTACGATTGACCAACTCTAATCGCTCTTCTATCTGTCCAGGAAAAGACGCAGGTGAACGCCACGATTTCGCCCACCAAGACCGCCTACGAGCTGTGTCGTGAATATGCTGCCAAAATGCAACTGCCAACCCATCAGCTAACGCTCTACGAGGTGATACTGAACGACAGCCTGGAGCGGCCCCTGCACCATGACACAAAAGTGTTCGACGTGATCCTTAACTGGTCGTACTGGCCGGAGGAGGATCGCAAGCACAACTATCTGATGGTGCGCCCCATTGAGATGCTGCGCGAAATTCAGCGGGCGGTCAAGAATTTGGCCACGGTGACGCCCGGCAAGGAGCTGCGCTTCGCCGACAATCGCACCAAGACATTCAAGACTCTGCAGTGCGAGCTGCGGGACGGCAAGATTGTTATATCGAAGAAGGACAAGAACGACAAGACCACGATTATCAGGGAGATATTTCTGCAGAGCTGTACGGCGTATGTGGGCTGTGAGCGCAAACGAGACTTTCCCTGGAGCTGGGCCATCACTTTTGTCGAGCGCACCCAGGCCCAAATAATGAGGTTTGCATTTGCACTTGCATTTAATATTGACTTGATACAGGCACACATACATCTCTCTCCTCTCCATTGCATTTCAGATCGCGAGATGCTCCCTACATTGGCCATGTACTGGCCGGCAGCGAGTGGGTGGATCGTACCATTTGGTATTCGAGTATCTGGTATTGCCTCTACGGTGACAATATTCTGCCCCCAGCTGAGATCATTCTCAAGTAGAGGAACTCTCTCTTTCTCTCTCTCTCTGTCTGTCTGTCTGTCTGTCTGTCACTTGCATTTCTTTAGTTATTTTATGTACAAACATAGGTAATATGAATTTATATCAAATACGACGGATTTACGATCACTGAACTTTTCCCATACATATATACATAAATACATACATACATATGTCGAACAGCTTGGCAAACATTATACATACATTGATTCCACATTATCTGTACATAATCATAATCATAATCACTCAAGACCCAATTTGTACATTACCATAAAAAAAACATTATTTTACATATGTATATATGTATGTATTTTCTTCAATGTATGAGTGTGTGTGTGTGTAGCTATCACATCAGACCAGACCAGCTAGTTCCCTCAAAGGCCCTGCGATACTTACACTATCTGACACTGACTCGAGGAACTAACTACTGACACTGTCGGTTGAGACAAAGTGCTTGGCCTTGGCCTTTGCCTTTGCTTGGCAATATTTTCATATTTTTAATATCTATGTATATTTTAATAAGTGTATTTTTAATGGGGCCTCCGATTTTATGCAATACATACAAACAAATTTTGTAGCCATTATATTTAGAATCTACATCTACACAATCCAGGACCGCAAATGTTCAATGGAAATAAAAAAAATAGTACTACGAAACAAAACTTGTTATCTCTTACTGGGCGCTCTTAGCTGGGTATCTCAATCAAGATCATAAATAAATATTTAATGGCTTCGAGGATGGCTTTATAAAATTGAAAATGTTCTCTTAATTTTAGGCTGTCTCTCCTGCGCTCTTCAGCAGCTGCGGCTGAGCCATCGTTCCAATTCCGCATTCCCCGTTACAGATTCACTCAAAATTTGTCAAACTGCATTTTATTTCAAATTTGTTTGTTTCTTCACGTTTCCATTTTGTAAGATTTTGTTTCGCATCAATGTTTTGCTTGAACTTTACATAAATCAATATTGATATTGTTGTTGTTGTTGATGTACAATATATAGATAGAAACATGCGTGTATGTTTTGCATATATAATATATATAGGTATATATATATATATATATCTGTATATGTGTCCATATATCTTATCTATCCGTGGATAGTTACCATTATGGAGGAGGTGTTAAATATATTCGTAAAGAAACATGATTTGACTAACTTTAGTATGTATGTTTGAAGCCATCTTCGTGTCACTAGGGGTGTAAGGGTGTAAGGATGGGGAGGGGATGAGTAGTATACATATTGTGTGGAAAGTTGAGTTTAAGGTGTACCAATATGTATGTCAACGTGTGTGTGTGTGTGTGTGTGCTTCAGCAAAGAAGTTCTTGGGATGGAAGCGAGTCCAGGCAAACCCACCCAATACCCACCCACACATACATATATATGTATCTGCGGGTTCTTCGTTACCGTTACCGCCAAGTGTCATTATGTGTGTGGGGATTTGGATTAGGATTCAGAGATTTCTATGTACATAGACTTTTGGGGAGTGGCTGGACATGGAAAAGCAGACTAGACTATCCTATCCAATCAGAAGCAAAGAAACACACAAAGTGCTTATTTTTTTAGGTTTTTTTTTTTCTTTCTTTCTTTTCTTTTTCTTTTCAGTTTCTTTTATCTGCTGTGTGTGGGGGGGGGGGGGGTCACATGTATAGTCTCGTGTATAGTCCTTGAAGGTGCTGGCAAAATCTAACCTAGTACTTTTTTCTTTTAAGTGTAGTATATGTATATTATATATATATATAACTAGAGAAGTTCCGCGAAATTCGGTCTACTACTCAAACTATCAACAAGTTTTCTAATGTTAGCTCAAAAAAAAATAATATATATATATATATAATCAAGTTTCATGTGTAATAGTGTTAGAAAACGCAAAACGATTTTACAAAGTTGAAGCCGGGCGTGTGTGTGTGTGTATGTGTGTGTGTTGATTAGAGTTTGAATACGAAATTATGTTTAGATTTCTTTTGGATTTTTGGTTGTGGTTTTCTTCGTTTTGGTACTCAACTGTGTGTGTGTGTGTGTGTGTGTGTGGGGGGAGGGGTATGTGTTTCCTTTCAAAAGGATAACTCGTAAAATGCTTAGACGTATAAATATGCTCTCCTAATGTTAGTACGTAATAATCACATTGACTGCCGCCATTGCCATCTCTCTTGCTCTCGATCTCCACCAGCCTTAGCTTCAGCTACAGCTCCAGCTCCAGCTCCAGCGTCCAGTGCTCTATCGTTCTTCCATCGTGTCGACTGCAGCTGGGCGAGCTACTTGGTTCGGGCCCTTCGTTCGGACTACATGTGATGCCATTGCGTTACAGCCACATTGGCATTATCGTTGAGGCGAGCAATCTCCTCGTGCAGCTTGTGGCCGAGCCACTGCATGAAGATGCGGCGATAGGCGTACTGGCTGAGGCGCAATGGATTGCCACGCCTTAGGCCCTGATCCGTCTCCCCGTACTCGTCCAGATACGGCGGCTGGACATAGCAGCCCTTGCCGCGGCCCAGATACACCACCTGGCAGTCCCGTATGCGCAAGAATATGCCAACCTCGGCGCCGCAGCTGTGGGCATGATGGGTGCAGGCACCCACCGACATCTTTCCCAGCTCTGGCTGGCAGCAGTACGACTGGCCACAGAGCACTTCGCCACAGATCAGGCACATCGTTGGGGTCTTCATTTCCTCGCGCTCGTTGTTGGGACAGAAAATGTCCGATACGCTGTTGATCAGATCGCTGTAATCCTCAAAGAGCGGCTTCAGCTCCGGCAGGGGGCGCAGGCATGGCAACACCTCCACGGGCTCGCCATAGCGTGAGCTGCACTGCTCGGCCTGGCGCAGGATGTGCGGATGAGAGGCAAAGTTGTGCATCATGGTGGCATAGACTGTCTCCATATCGAAATAGACGCCCATGTCGGCATCCAGACCCAGGTACTGGCACATCAGGTCGAATCTATCGGGCTGTTCTGTGGGGAACGTGTCGGGGAACTCCACATCGGTCAAGCAGCGGTAGAAGAGGCAGGCGCAGCGCAGGAAGGAGCCCATCTGATACTGGACGTGCTCCAGCATCAAGGCCAAGTGCTGCAGCTCGCACGGGATAACCACAGTCTGCTCTTGATTCTGACTCTGACTCTGGTTCTGTTTCTCCTCCGACTCCGCTTCCTTTTGCAGCACCAACTGGCGCACGCGGGCTGGCACATTGTAGCGACGATAGAACGCCACCATATTCTCCTGAATCTTCGAGGGCAGTTGCTCCACATACGCCAGCTGAGCGAGCTCCGTCCCCTCGCCGGCCTCCTCCTTGGCCCGCCGACTGGCCAGCTCCTTCTCAACGTCAAAGCAGATAACGGCCTTTGTGACATTGGCCAGGAACATGGTCTGCAACATGTAGAAATCGAACATGCTGCCGCTGGGCAGGACGGCGTAATCTGCAAATAAAAAGAAATCAAAATCAATAATCGATAAGGAGATGTAAGTGGCACTGGCACTGGCACTTACCATTCTCTTTCACCATGAGGTTGAGGACACCGAAATTTAGCTGGACTAGCATGCGGAAGCAGTCCCATTCGAGGACACTGGTTCCCTTCTGGTTGAATATGGTGTCCAGCAGCTTGGACGCCAGTTCGGGCCGGTGCGGGGCCCAGCTCGAGTAGAGGGCGCAGGCGCGCACCAGGTTCGTGGTGCACGTCTGATGGCGCATGGGCATCTCCACCTTGAGCGGCTTGCGCATGGTGAACATGTAGATCTCGAGGGACTCCAGGGTGTAGCTGCATGTGTCAAAGACCAGGTACGGGCTCTCGCTCTCGCTCTCGCCGCCTACGCCGCCCTCTGCGGCAGCGTTCGGCTGCTGGCTGATCATCGCATTCTGCAGCGCCTTGTTGAAGGAGGTCATCACTTCCATGCAGGTGGTGTGTAGTTGCGGCTTCTCGATCAGCTGCACAGTTCGTTCGAACTGGGCCAGATCGCCGATCACATTGGACTTGCGCAGCACGCTCGAATACTGCCACATGGTGTTGTCGGCGGCAGGAGCCGCTAGCTCCCCGCCAAGGGTCCGCATGATCTCCACGAAGCAGTCCAGGGGCAAGTAGTTCTCGGAGCCGCAGACAGCCGGCGGCACTCCGCTTTGGTCGGGTATGAGACCGGCCAGCGGCTCGCTGACGGGCAGCACAGTGTTGCTGAGGGCCCGGCAATACGGGCAGTGGAACTCCACGTTGTGGCCCTGGCTGAGGGCGAGGCGGTTCCGGTGGAGGCGACGCTGCTCCTTGGACTCCTCGTTGCTGTAGTACTCCTGCCAGCACTTGTAGTGCATCACATGGCCGCAGCAGCTCACGTGCATGCCACTCTTGCCCTTGTAGTGGCCCGGCGTGGTCAGGATCACGCGCGAGGTCTGCACAAAGGCGGAGCTAACGAGCGGCGGCCCGTCCGGGTTGATGCTGCAGTTCTCGAAGCACAGGATGCACTTGAAGCTGTTCTCCTGCGCCTGATAATGGGCCCGATTGGGTCCCAGGCAGGCCGGGTTCTGCTTGATCAGCAGAGCGGCCGCACCCTGCTCCTCTAGGCTCTCGCCCGGTATATCCTCCCAGTCCATTGCACTGCCGCCCATCGAGGCTGCCGCCCTGCTGCCCGAGGCTCCCGATCCAGCGGTATCCTGTTCCAGGTCGCTGTTGGCGAACATCTCGGCGTTCGACTTCATGAACGTGTTCTGGGCGCTCTGCATCTGGGCCATGATCTTGGCTCGACGCTCGGCGGCCAGCTTGGCGCGGGTCTCCTTCTCCTTTCGTGCCTGCTCCTCGGATGTCAGCGGCAGCTCCTCGGCCGACTTCTTCTGAGAGCCACTGGGGCCGGCCGCTGCTGCTGGCGCCTGCTTGGCCTGCATATCCTTGAAGCGCTTGATGGTCCACAACACAAAGTCGCGATGTGCCTCCAGCTGTGGCAAAATGAACCAAAATTAAATTAAAGTTTCCATTCAAAGGATTGGATTGGATTGGATTGGATTACTCACCCTTGGGCAGCGGGCCAGCTCGTCCAACTTGTCGAGGATTCCATACTGCTGTGCGCGCTCATAGAAACTGAGGAACGGGTAGTGCTCGCTCAGTTCCTCTTGGATGGCAAAGCCGAGCAAATGTAAAATCTGAAATCAAAATTCAAAAAGAAATGATTGTTAGCAGGGAACACAGGTGGTGGGGTAGAGCACAGGGAACACAGGAAACATACCTTCTGGACATGGGATTCTGAGAAGGAGCGACTGCGAATGTCCAGGGCCCGATCCATAGTCAAAGTGCAGATGCTGAGGAACACATTGCACTGCAATATGTTGGCCATGGACCTATAGCAATGGCAGCAAGAGAAGAAGGTGCAAGGTTAGCTTTAGCTTAAGCATTAGCATTAGCATCTACTGCCGCATGAGATGCGAGACTCACGTGAATGCTGGTGTCAACTGCGGCAGCATGGGCGGCGGACAGCACACGAGTTCCTTCTTGGCCTTGCGGCGCTCCCGCTGCAGCTCCTCGGCCTTCGATTTGTCCTCCTTGGTGTAGTGATAGAAGTACACGTTGAATTCCTCGTACAGTGACTCCTTCAGCACGTAGACGCCCTTGCGGTCGGCACCCACGGGCTTCTTGAACGTGGCCACCGTGTTGATGACGTCCTCGAAGACGCTGTCGCTGTTTCCGCCCGTGGTGTCGGGCAGGGCGCGACTCAGCTCCGAGTGGGAGTAGGACTTGATGCACAGCAGCTGGATGATCTCCTTGCGCAATCGATCCTCTTCGGTAACGAGCGACACTCCTGGCATCCAGCGCTCCCCTATGATGACGATGAGCAGCTCGAGGAACTCGTCGATCATCGACAGCTGCCGCATGAACTCTTCGTCGACGGGGGACTCGGCCAGCAGCGTCTCGTAGTTGGGCTGGGCCCAGCCGATCAGATTGAACTTGTTCAGGGCATGGATGAGGAACTCGTTGCTCTCCATCAGCGAGGCCCCGATTTGCAGGCACACAATGTCCCTGTCCAGCATCTCGACGCGGCACCGCACGTTTCTGTAGAAGTACAGCTGGTGGAGCAGCGAGTAGCCGTTGCGGCGCCACATTCCGGCGGCCACCTGGGCAATCATCGCATGGGTGCACAGCACCGGCTCGATGATCTCGCGCGGCGTCAGCTTGATGTTCAGCGCCTCGGTCTCGGCCACCAGGCAGTCGTAGCTCAGGTCGTGGGCACCCAGATGCAGGTAGATACCGGCATAGAAGCGAGTCAATGGCAGATGAATCGACACCGGCCGCACTGAGACATCGTAGACGAGGCAGCTGGCCACATGCCCGGCCACACTTCTGGCCTCCGCCTCCTCGCTGCCAGCTCCGCCGACAATGAAGTTGTTGCTGACCAGCGACCGCACCGTCATCTTGTAGAGCTTGTGCAGCAGCGTCTTGTCGGTGGACGCCCACTCGATCACCTGCGAAATGGTGGTGGCCAGCTTGATGTGCAGATTGAAGGCGCACTCCCACTCCGGCTCGTAGTCCATGTGCTGGCCCGTCTGGCGGGTAATCGACTCCATGCCCTGCATCACATTGAGGACGCGCATCAGGGCCTTGCAGCCCTCGAGGAATCCCGTGCGCAGCTCGTTGCTGAGGACATCTGGCTTGAGGCTGAGCAGATAGCGCAGATCGTATAGGATGTAGTTGGCGCGCTTGAAGAAGGACAGGCTGGCGATGTTCTTGCTGAAGTGCAGTGTGCGGTTGAGGATGAACTTCTCGATGGCCACGTAGTAGAAGGTGTGCAGCAGCTTGTCGAAGATTCCCTCCTTGGCGATGAGGCGATGGGCAATGCTGGGCACCGTGAACAGCTGCACGCTGAGGGAGACGATCGAGAAGGCGTGATCGTGGTCGTCGTTGATGAAGTCCTCCACGATGGTCGCGTAGCGGCGCGAGAACTCCTGGGCCAGCACCATCTTGTTCTCGTACTCCATGAGCATGCCCGAGATGAGGAGGCGGTGCCAGCAGGTGCGCGCCGTCTTCCACAGCTTCACGTCGTACTCGAGGATGTGGCGGATGCAGAAGGACTCCTGCTTGCGCTGCACCAGCTCGGAGAAGGTCTTGCGGAAGAGGTAGTGGCGGACGAGGAACTCCTGGAACCAGCTGAGCAGCTGCAAGGCAAACTGCTGGCAGGCCACAGAGTTGATGTGCAGCACGGTGGTGCGCAGCGACTGGTTGTTCCGGGGATTGGCTAGGAGACCGCTCGGCGGTATCATCTGGTTCTCTATGTCCGTCTTCAGGTCGTTGCACTCCTTGAACGTGTCGCACTTGACCACGGCCCTGCCCTCGCGGTCTATGGCCGCCACTATTTCCATGGCCTCCTTTTTGCGGCACTTGGCGATCTTTGTCAGCGTCTGGATGACCTGGTCGAACGTATGCGACTCGTCGTTGTACAGCACCGTGCAGAAGTTCGCCCCATCCAGCCCCAGGCCCTCCCCGTCCAGGCACTGCAGACTGGCGTTCGGCTCGATCTCCAGATAGTTGACGCAAAACGCCAGAATGGCACTGAAGCAGATCTCGCTGCGCTCCAGCACGGCCCCAGTGATGATCTTGCTCTCGAGCGGATTCTTACGATTATCCTGCATCAGATGGGAGGGAGGGGATTGGGTATGGTAAAGGGTGAAAATATAAGCGATCGCCTTTGTCCTCTTTGAAGCATTTGTGGCACTTTTTACTCACCAAATGCAGATGACAATAGTGATCCTTCTTCCAGGCCTCATTGTCCCCACAATCGCAGCAGCCACCGCCCCCAGAGGTGGACATTTTGTACTTGTGGAAGCGATGCGCCGACTGCTTAAAGCAGTTCACGCACAGCACACAGGTGGGATCCATGCCACACTCACGGCAGCTGTAGGTGGGCTCCCCATTCTTGAAGACCTTGCCGCAAACGGTGGCGGTATTGCCCTCGAGGAGCAGCTTCTCCAGCGCCGATTTTGGATTATCTCCTAACATGAACTCGACCAGAACATCGATTATCTCCTCTTTGGCCATGGACTCCTTGAACATGCATTTAACTGAGAAAAAAAGAGAGAGGAGAGGCATGAAGATTATTTAAAAGATTACAAGAACGAATCGAGAAGGATGGATGGATGGAGCAGCACACAGAAAGTGATCTGTGGTTACCGGTTACCGATTACCGTTAACCGGAAGGGATGTTAGCAAGGGGGTGTTGGGCTAACGGTAGTTATTAATCTGGGCCTAGTACGGAAGTGTGTGTGTGTGTGTGTGTGCGCTATGGCTGACAAATGTAAGGGGCCCAACACACACGTTCAGTATGAGGCAGTTCAGTATTAGGCATCGTCGTTGATTCAGTCATTGTTCGTTTAGCGGTGATGCTACATACATATGTGCAACATCATTGTCTGTCTAAAATATCACTTAGTTAGTTATTGGAAACAGGTTAAACAGCATGAATATATGTACATATGTATATCATGACAGTCTTGATAATCTCGTGATTATTATGATGATGATGATGTTGCGCGACCGCAAGAGAACGAGTTTTCCGAATTGAAATCAAAACCCCACAAATCGTCAAATACAACAAACACAAATACAGTTCAAGGTCGCGCCGTCATATGCAACACATATGCATGCATACATACATACATCCAAATGAACTCTGCATCGTAAAGAGCGAGAAAGATAGACAGTTAGATAGTGAGAAAGAGAGAAAAAGAAAGAGAATGAGAGAGTAAGTGAGAGTGGGAGGCGAAGAGAGAGAGAGTCAGATGTTCCCGTTAGCTGCTTTTTTATTTGTTTTGTTTTGTTTTTTTCTTGTTGGTTTTTTTTTTGGGCGATAAGCAAAAGGCGAGAACTTTTTCCATAATCGACAACGCATCTGAGAATCTGACGTCGCACCGTTTCTCGGGCTATCAACGAAAATAACAAATACAAAATCTGCAGTGCACATACATACATACATGTATGTAAATATTTACATATGTATTTACATACTGTAGGTATATATATATGAACATACATATCTATAGGTAATATTCTTTCTGCATGCAAAATGTTCCCCTGTAAACATACATATCTTTGCATGTACATGTGCAACAGTGTGCTGCTGCTGCTGCTGAGGCGTAGTAGACTGGAACAAAGAACGGAACGGGTGGGGGGAGGGTCTAGAACAGAACAGAGTAGAATAGAACAGCACGGAAATGAAATGAACTGAACTGAACGGAACTGAACGGAACAAAACGGAAAAGATCGCAAGTGAGGAAGCGGCAGTGTCTCATCCATGCCCATATTCCAGACTCTCCTGACGACAAGCAAACAAAAAAACTCAGCCAGACCAACACACGGAAATGTTCGGCCTACTACGACAGGAAGCCAGGAGGTGTTAGGATTAATCAGCTAGCCTTCCTTCGTTCAGATCTCAGCAAAGTATCTATTTATTTCGGGGGCATATGAGTTAAATCCTGTCAAAACACGAGAGCAAACAGGAGAGCTGCAAGTGAGGCCGAGGAGGCTCCCCACCTGAATACCCAAATACTCAAATGTAAACAACAAAAATTAAGCAGAAAAGAACCGATTATTTTAAGTTGAATATATGTGTATTAACAACACGAATTATTCCCCAATGGCAGTGGGCGATCGACCCCTTACATTCATATATAAATCATCATATGTATGTACATGTGTACGTATGTATGTATTTACATGACTATATATGCATGCGCGAAACACGAATGCATTCCACACAAGAAAATACAAATGTAAATACATATTTACATATGTATTTATGTCTAATTGTATCAGCCACAAAGAAACAAAACACACAAATTCGTAATCCAAGTATAAAGAAAGTTGCAGAAATCGGGGGACACGTCAGTGGACTGGAACCTGCGACCTGCGACTGAGGCTGTGCCTGGGTCTGTTCCGTTTTGGTCCGAACGAGGACCAGATAAAAGCAAGTTGAATAAACCGAATCTACATATGTATGTATGCATTTAACAATCTGTTTTATCAGTCATCGTCGTCACAACAATCGTGGCCCAATCGTCTGTCCTCGCAATCTCAGCGTGTTCTGTTCTTTTCTGTTCTGGACGCGTTGTCTACTCTATTACCAATTGGACAACAGCAAATATTAGCCACTGTTTGAACTGATTTGGCAGATTCCTCTGATGGAAGAAAGCAAGAAGGGCAGTCCTACTGATTCTACATAAAGTTTAGCTTTTCCTGCACCAATGTTCCCATAGTTATCCGATCCTGCAATCCCCCTGCACGGGCTCTACAAGAAGTTTTGTGAACAAACACACAAATATAATAACAGATAAATAATATGATTTGTTGCTAGGAAGAGATTCGGAGAGATTTGGGCATCGGGTGCCGGTGGACGGGGGGGAGCGTGAGGGAATTTTGCGGATATTCTCTTTTAGCTGATGAACCCTAAGTATGCAGTTGCCTCACCTGTATCCAGCTCGTTCTGATAGTCAAAGTACTTGGGCGACTCCTTCTTGAAGAACTCGATGAAGTCGTTGCGTTTCAGTGTGCCAGCCTGGAGTTTTAGCCGCCACTCCTTCAGCGGGGTGCTGCACTCGTCCGGGGGGCCCACTACAACGTCGTCCATATCGAAAAGATCCATCTTCTTCCTCCCAGTGTCAGTGTGTGTGTGTGTGTCGCTCCCGATGCTCAATGCCCGATGCTATGTTTTCGATGTTCTTTGCTCGATGCTCGTTGCGGTGCTCGTTGCGGTGTGTGTGATGTGCCTGCCTGCAGTTTTTATGCTTTTGGTGGTGTTGGTGTGCTTTTAGAGCTTTTCAGTTTCTTGCTTCTCCTCGCTGTCTCTTTCTGGCACTCAGCTGTGATTTAAGCGTGGGTGGCGGGTGGCTTGTCCTTCGCCGTTATTGCAACTATTGGGGCTGCGTTTAGACCAATTTGAATCAAGGTTTAGCGTAGGTGCCTCTGTGCCTATTTCCGCGCTGAGGAGGTACTAGCGTTCTCGTGGTTACTCGAAAATTTAATTATCAAAAACTGAATGGGAAACGAGAAAATAAAACACATTTTTAATTTATAGCGAAGTTTCACGCAAAGTTTTCGATCCCAAAGGAAGGATTGGTTTGAATCAATATCCCGTACAGAACACACTAGGCACACTTCGTCGTATTCATACATATGCATATGTATATGTGTGTGTACATGTATATGTACATATATGAGTGTTGCTGCGATTTGCGAATTTAGAATTTTTGTGTGTGGATAACAATGCGTTCTCGCACAGCACAAACGAACGAACCTTGCCTTTCCTAGCCACCTACCTACCACCCTACCCTACCACTACATCTACTGTGTTTGGAGGCAGAATTTTCAGTTCCGTCAGTTTCTTTCCGATACGTTCAGTTCTGCGCTTTTCGTCGCGTCGCCGTGGACAACAGGGAAAAATGCAAGTCGCAGTTTGCAACTGTTGCTTGGCAGACTTTTTCGTCTCTTCTGTATCCAATTTTTTGTTGTTTTTGTTTTTGCATTAGTTTTGGCAGCAAAACAAAACCAAAACGCACGCGAGCTATTCTATTGCCACGAACCGAAATGTAAGTGTGTGAGCGAGAGAGAACGAGAGGGTGGGCGAGAAAGAGAGCGCGCATGACATAAAAAAACACAACAAAAAAAGAGACAACACACGAGGCGTCGGGTCCTCCTTATATGTATAGTATATTATTTTGGTTATATTTATGATAATAATTTTGTTTAGTAATCTTTTGTTTTGTTGCGTTTTATTGTAGTAAACACTCTCAGCTCTCTCGCTTTTTTTTTATTCATCACCGCGCAGGGTTGGGTTCGAACCTCGCTTGGAACCTGATCCTACACACACACACACACACATGCAGGCACGTACATATGGTACATACATGTGTGTGATAAAGAGGCAATCGGGCAGCTGACGAAAGAGAATTAAGCAACACATCGCACACACACAAACACACAATTGGACACATACCGTACTTCGTTTCGTTTTCTACAAATCTATCAACTATTATCCACTTTCTATTAGCTTTTATTTAACTTCGCACACAAGCAGACAACCCGACGTCGTGGGACACAACGTCTGCTGCAATTTTAAAATTTCGCTTTCAGTTTTTGCTTTTCAGCTTTGCTTTTCACCAGTGTGACCGCGGACTTACCGAAAAAATATACATTATCATTTTCCAAATATACCATAAATATACCGAAGAAGAAAAAGTACTTAACCCACTTAACCCCCTCTCTATTTAAACAGTGAAAACCCTTCAATAAGCCGCGGAAAATAATACTGCTTGTATATTCTTCTTGTAGATCCATCCTTCCTCTTTGATTACAAGCAAATATTACAACGATATGTTTCACCTGAAATGCGTACAAAATGTTTCAAATTTCATAATATTCTTGCGTAATTCGAAATACCCACTGGTCGACAATGGGTTAGACGGTCTGTCCACGATGGAAATCATATTCCTCGAATTCCTCGATTTTGAAATTCTGTTTCATATTACCAGCCAGCTAGGTCTCCTAGCACTAAATATATAATTTTATCCAATTTATGAATCAATTTTCCACAATATTGGTTAGTTTTGAGGACTCTCTTGTATTGCATTGCTTACAAAATACAATTAAAACTAAGGAAGTCAAATCATATAACTTAAGTATTTGCTGAATTTCTGGTAAACCCGACATTAGCTATGAGTATGGACATTTGTATACCCTTAATCCTTAAATTAATGTTAAGGGCCGAGAAGCAAAGAAAATTGCATAGAAACGAGACTGATATGTGGTTAAATCTTTCTCTGCCGTTGACCTCGACATGCGACCAAAATTTTGTACGACACGGATAGCGAAAAAATATTATTTTATTGAATTGGATATTAGATATTTTACAATGTTACGTCTCTAACAACTAGCTTATACATGAGCAGCTTCGTCGCTTTGTCCGCTCGCTGTCTGCTTCCTGTGCTGCCTCCTTCTTGATTTTACAGATTCTTTAGCATAATCGCTCTTTTCCCGCTAAATTCCTCGCCGCACCGGCTTGGGAGCAAACAAGACCTTCGCCGGCTTGCAGAGCTCCAGCTCGCTTCCGGGGCGCACAGCCAGGCAGAGCTGAATCTCCACGAGGGATGCCTCCGTCCAGACACTGTGGGACAGCAGAATCGTCGTTCTTAGCCGCACATTCGTTTCGTGCTCCCCTTGCTCTGTCATGATGGGCTTGAAATCCGTCATTTTGGGCACCACTGTGTGCATGTGCTGGTCGGGGTACTTGATCTTGATGCGCATGTCAGCCTTCTGCGACTCCTGCAGATTGTCAATCTCTGCCACAAACGGAACGGCAGCAATCAGCCCAGCAGTCACCTTGATCACATTGTCCTGCGACTGCAGCGGGCACGGCTCGATTATGCTGGCCATACAGCGACGGATCTTCTCATTGGCGGGCGGCAGTGCCAAGGGCGGGGCATTCTGCACCAGGGGTAGAATCTCGCGGAAGACTCGACCGGGCCTTGGGTCCGTGATCGCGTCCAGTTTGGACAGCAGCTGGCGTGTGAAGCTATCCGGTTGGGCGTTGTTGGTCGATGCTTTAATGGACTTCTCCTCCTCCTCACCGGTAGTGCCAATGCTTGGGATCGGCAGCTGCTGCTCCTCATCCTTCGTGTTGGCCTTTATGTACTCACTGATGTCGCCAGCCGTCTGGAGCAGCATCTGACAGGGACCCAGGGCGCTCTGGGAGCGATCCTTCACCACCAGGACCAGATGCAGGGCGCTGGCACGCAGCCGCAGCTGCTTCACCTGCAGAATGTCCCAGTAGCTGAGCCCCGAAAACGTGTGCTGCAGCTTGAGACACTTGGTGATCAGGGCGGCCAGCGATTCCTTCAGAGGGACACGACTTCTGTGCGCCTTTGCGCAGCGCTGCATCTGCTCAATTTGTATCTGAGCGGACAGGAAAGTCTCCAGAAAGTTTGACGTCCCATATAGGCCCGAGTCGATGTCCCCAAGGCGCTGCAGAGAACATTTTGAACATTTTGTCATTCATTGGTTTGATTCAAGGTTTGGTTTACAGCGGAACTTACCTGGAGATTGGACTGGGCGGTTTTGAGCAGCTCCACGCGACCGTCGGACATGGTGACGATCTCGTCGATGTGGCTGAGAATCATTTTCAGGTATCCAGCGGAGCTGCCCGCCTTCTTGACGGCATCGTCGATCCGATGATTTGTGCACGAGGATGATGCGCCCTCTATGGGCAGCTGGGGGACCAGTCGCGGCATGCTGTCCCTCAAGTACGCATAGTGGCGGTGGGTGGCCGTTGGCAGAAGGCTGATGATGGGCATCAGATGCTCGGCGGCATTGAAGACGAGAATGAGCACGCACAGGTAGGTGGGATCCTCCACGTCTCGCTCGGGGGTCTCGAAGAACGGATGCACGTACAGCAGGTGAACGGCCACAGCCATGACGAGGTGCGGATGCTTCTGTCCAATCTTACGCATGCAGGCGTAGGTGGAATGCCGATCCTGCGGATACTTGGCCAGCACATCGAGCAGCTTCTGGACCACCATCAGCAGGCAGGTTTGTGTGGAGACGCGGCAGGCGCCCAGCATCAGATGCAGGCCCTCCCGCACGTCCACCGAGTAGTCTTCGAGCGAGCTCAGCATGGTCTCCAGCTGATCCTCCCGCAGCACTATGTGGCGAGCGATGGCCGTCAGACTGTAGATGGCCTTCAGCCGGACATCCTCGATCTCGTCGTTGAACATGTCCACCAGAAAGTCCAGACTGGTGAGAGCAAAGTCCGACCGCGAAAGCGCCAGCTTGCACATGGAGGTGACAGCAGCCGTCCTCACCTCCAGAAACTCATCCTCCAGGCCGTGAATGAGGGCTCCGCAGGCCCCACTGGCGATTATCGATATGCTCCTGGCATCCAGGTGCTCTTGGGGAGCGTCGTCCGCCCATCGCTTGCCCGACGACCACTCGCCGCTAGCCACCAGACGCGCCCCACGCTCGTGGGCCGTGCGCTTTCTGCGCAGATTGCTCATCAGTTTCTTGTCGAGCGTCTGATGGAGGAACTCTCGACTGACGTGGGTCATGCCACCCAACAGCTCGGCGGCCAGCACTCGAATCTGCAGCGAGAGATCACAGAGGGACTCGCACACCTTGCTGAACGCGGCATCGATCATTCGGATGTCCTCCTGCTGGCGCTCCGAGGCAATAATGAAGTCCGGATGACTGTTGCCCAGCATGTACACCAGTCTCAAGGCCTCCTTGCGCACGCACTCGTAGTCGTCCTTCATGGCATCCACGGCCCGCTTGTAGAGCACCGCTGGCAGATTGGATCCCCGCTCGCCGAGCGTCAGCAGAGCATGCAGAGCCTGCGCCCGCACCCCCGAATCCTGCGAGTCGATGTAGAAGGCCAATTTCCACGCGTAGTGCCGTTCGCCCTCCATTCGCGTTGCGAATCGGCCAATCACCAGCATCGCGTTCTTCTGCGTATGCGTGGAGCCGGAGCGCAGCGCCTCCTTGGCCAGATGAGCCACCTGTGTGTTGTAGGCCATCGGGACAAGATGTCGCCTGCGATCACCGATCCGGTAGAGGCACATCATTCCCTGTGCCAGCACCTTCTGCGAGGTCTCCTTGCGCAGCAAGTAGATCAGGTGGTCTATGATGAGTATCACGCCCGCCTCTGTGGTGCACTCGCAGCCGAGGCCGGAGAGCAGCTCCAGCAACTTCACTCGCACTGAAGTGTCGCTCTCCCGGTCCTGCAGCTGGAACAATTGGTATATCTTTGCGGAGGCCTCCTTCAGTTCGACCATATCCACATCTTCGTAGCAGATCTCATCCGTGATCTTGACGAGCACTTCCAGCAGCTCCTTGGTACTGCTTGGGCCAATGGCAGCGGTGGGGGCAGAGCCACTTGTTGCTGTCGTCCCTGCATTACTCATTGGCAGGGGTACTGCTAGGGGCACAGCTGCCGGTGTTTTCGTTGCTCCGCCAACTGCACCGGCGCCTGCCACTGCAGTGGCTGCTCCCAAATAGGGATCGAGCTGTGCCAACACCTGCAGTTTCCTCTCCACTGGCTTTGCTTTGGCGGTCAGTGTTTGAAGGCGTAGTTTCTTGAGTGGCGGCGCTCCATCGATGGTCTCAACTAAGGACCCGTGAGCCTTTTTAAAGGCCAGTGCCATGATTTTACTATATTTTTGGATGCAATTGCAACTTTTAATTAATTACAATATGAAACAAATAGAGATGACAAACCATCGATGGCACTATTGATAATATCGATAGTTGCGATGGTTTTTTGCGGTATATTTATGGGTTTTCTCGACCAACGATATATTGTTTGAGAGTGAAAAAGGATTTCGCCTAGAAAATGAACAATAAGTATTATAAAATTATAATATATATAATATATTAATTATTATATAATGTCAAAGACAGTAGCATTCCATAAAGTTAGCGGTATTTTATTAATTGTGGTTGATAATAATAATAAAATGCGAATTAAACCTTAATAAAAAAAATACACATGACAACCTCCATCTGTTTCACTGAACTGCCCTAAATTCCTTCAAGGTTAATAATTTTCTTCCCTGGTCGACAATGGGCTAACGTTCTTCTTGTTGATCGGAAATCATATTATACGATTTTGATATTCGGCTTAATATTACTAGCTAGCTAGGACCCCCAGCACTGAACACATAATTTCATTCAATAGATGAATGAATTCCCTAAAAGATTTGCTAACTTTAAACACCAATTTTTCATTGGTTTATTTATAAAATAAGTTTTAAGCAATAAAGATCTATGAATAAAACGTAATTTGATTTGAAACTCACAAAGTTTGCAACGTACTTAAATGTACTTAAATAAAGATGCTGGCGAGATGCGCCCTCCTACCTGGCTGCAGATAGCCTTTGAGGGCAAAATTCTGATAAGAGAATAATTATTCTGGTAGAAAAAAAAACCCATTGGGGAGATTCCCGGCGGACTTGATGGCTTTTCGACCTTGCCTGCGACTTGCGGTTGCTGAGACAACTGGTGTACATACATAAGTAGGCATAATCAATTTTTGCTATGGTGGCACGTATGTATTAGGAATAATAAACAATCTAATTGACTTCGATCCACTTCTACACGGATAATCCGTAAGAGGGCATCTGAAAAGATCCCCGGACCAAGCCAAGACTTCTTCACTCCATCACACTCACGTGCGCCCGCCACCGCCCGCGGAACACGCAGTGTGGCCTTTGTGATCTCGTTGAGCAGTCAATTCTATTAAGGCTTATTTATTATCCAACCAACGAAGCCAAGCCTTTGCCTCCCACGGATTCCCCTTTTATTGAGGCGCACGGCTTGCATTTTAAGCAACCGCAAATTAAAGTTTGTTTTCAGTTCAGTTGTGGGGGCTGTCTCAGTCTCCCCCTTGATTGCACTCAGCCGGTGTGGCGTTGTGCCGGTGCCGTTGCCGGTGCCGGGTGGTGATCCTATCCCGACACATCCCATAGAACAGGTTTCGTGCCTGTGGAAACAAATTGTTTGACATCGAAATTAACACACAACAACAGAGGAAAATGAAGCCAAGCTTTGGGCTTTGGCGAGTCGGGGAATGCTCTTTCTTGGCTAATGGAAAACCGAATTTTAGACTAAAATTTCTAGATGTATGCATGCCATTTCAGTATTCTCTAGCCGTAGGGCGATTTGTGAATTGGGGTAAATTTTAGATAGTTATCATGAACCTCCTCCGCCTACATCTACACCTCCACAGGTCTCCTTAGCAAAGTAACATGCCCCGATGTGAGGTGAGGAAGGTTGCGCTTGATTTATGGTTTTTGGAAGGAATGGGAGAGGGAAACAGGTGGGGCTTGAAACCACTGGTGCACTGATTTGCATGGGGAGGGGCCAGAAGGCAGACAATGAGCTTTCATCAGTGGCAGAACCACCACAGCCAGAGGAACCCCCCTGTGACAGCTAGGGAGGGGGCGGGTGCTCTGCGGCTCTACAATTCAATCAGGCAAATGGATTCCTGGAAATTTGAGGACCACATACAATGCATGTGGCAAGCAAACAAATCTCAGTTATCCGTTATATAATTACGAGTATTTACGAGTATAATTACATATATGGTGCACACCGCGTGATACTCGCTAAAAAGGCCTAGGAAATATCCAGAAGTACACACATACATATATGTGACTCATGTACTCGTACTATATAGGGAGCTATATATTGAGCAATCGATTGAGAGGGGAAAATAAGGAAAAGACAATTAATTGATGTGGAATTGTGGGAGTGAAATGAGCACTAAATATGCATTAAGCTCTATTGATCGTTAGTTCATTGGAAGATCATGAAGTGCACTCAGATACTGGGGAACAGCCTATATAACATGGCAGGGACAATTACGAGTATGTTTAGATATCTACATACGTACTCATGTACATATACTCGTATGTACATATATCGATCGATCATTGGCACAAACCCGTTTGGCTTGTCGCCTATATCCAGAGGATAAGTCTCTGATGGTTTCCAGGCCCCGCCGTTCAGAGCTCTGTCAACCCACACAACCCACACAGCCGACTCCCCCTTTGGCCTGGGCACAACCGGTCTGAATGGGTGTCTTTCGTCGCTTCCTCGGCGCTCCCACTCGAGAAGGCTCCCCCAGAGGAGAGGAGGAGCAAAGTAGATCAGAATAAACAATAAAAGGGGGAGGGCAAAAACAAAAAAAAAAACAAAAAAAAAACACGAGCATGAGCCGGACAAAGAGAGAGAGGCTATGGCGGCGCTATGGCTGATCGTGTGGTGTGTATAAAAGCGCCGGCCGGCCAGAGATTCGCCACAGTCGAGCTTTGACGATGACTTCGATGACGCGTGAGACTCGGATGCTGCTGCTGCTGCTGGTGGCCCAGCTGCTGTTGGTGTTCGGCCCCCAGGGCGGCCGGGCAGAGGAGCCCATATGTGAGTCGATCGATCCCCTGCAGTCGAGTGCCCGAGTGCCCGAGTCCCCAGTCCCCAAGCTAATTTCTCTGTGCTGCAGATCGGCTGTGCGTGCCGAGGATCTATCTGAAGGAGTGCCAGCAGCTGCTGGCCGATCCCTCGGAGGCGGGCATCCGCATGGAGTGCGTGTCCGGGCGGGATCGGGTGGACTGCCTGGAGCAGATCGAGCAGCGGAAAGCGGATGTGCTGGCCACGGAGCCGGAGGACATGTATATCGCCTACCACCGCAAGAACGAGGACTATCGCGTGATCTCCGAGATCCGCACGCAGCAGGACAAGGACGGTATGTCCATTGGCCATACCTTAAGGATCAGCCTTATAATCTCAGATCGCTTCATTCCCACCTTCCACCTCCCACTCCCACTTACCCATAGCTGAGTTCCGGTACGAGGGCGTCATCCTGGTGAAGAAGACATCGCCCATCACGACCCTCCAGCAGCTGCGCGGCGCCAAGTCCTGCCACACGGGCTTCGGCCGCAATGTCGGCTACAAGATCCCCATCACGAAGCTGAAGAACACCCATGTGCTGAAGGTGTCCGCCGATCCGCAGATCTCCGCCACCGAGCGGGAGCTCAAGTCCCTCTCCGAGTTCTTCTCGCAGTCCTGCCTCGTGGGCAACTACTCCGCCCACCCGGAGACGGACCGCCTACTCAAGAAGAAGTACCCGAACCTGTGCGCCCTGTGCGAGAAGCCAGCCCAGTGCAACTATCCGGACAAGTTTAGCGGCTACGACGGCGCCATCCGCTGCCTGGACAAGGGCCAGGGCGAGGTGGCATTCACCAAGGTGCAGTACATCAAGAAGTACTTCGGCTTGCCGGGCGCAGCGCCCGACTCGCCGCCCGCTGAGGGCAATGCCGAGGAGTTCGAGTACCTGTGCGAGGACGGCACCCGCCGATCTGTCACAGGACCCGCCTGCTCCTGGGCCCAGCGCCCCTGGAGCGGCTACATCTCCAACGAGCACGCTGTCCACAGCACCGACCAGCTGCACCAGCTGCAGACCCGCCTGGAGCGCTTCTTCGCCAACGGGCTGCACGCGCAGAACAAGGAGGCCGCCGCCCACCTGCTCATCCAGCCGAATGCCGTGTACCACAGCAAGCCAGCGGCCATCGATCCGAAGGTCTACCTGGAGCGGGCCGGCTACAAGGATGTGATCGAGCGGGACGGCAGTGCCATCCGCAAGATCCGACTGTGCGTCCAGCAGGAGGCCGAGTTTTCCAAGTGCGAGGCGCTCCACAGGGCAGCCTATGCGCGCGATGCCCGCCCCGAGCTGGAGTGTGTCCAGGCAACGGACTGCGTCGACGCGCTGGGCAAGGACCAGGCTGATCTGGTGATCCTGCCCGCCTCCGGCTATGCCGATGCCCGCCAGCACAAGCTGCAGCCGCTCGTCTACGAGCAGCTCGCCGACGACGATATCCTGGTGGCCGTGGCCCCGCCCACCCTGAACCGAGAGGCACTCCAGAAGGCAGCCATGTAAGATTATGCCTCTCCTGACCGCCCCGCCCCGCCCCCCGCACATACTGGACTAACCATCTCTTGCCACAGAAACTACGATGCGGAGAACGAGCGGTCCCGCCTTGCGGCCGCCTTCCTCAACAAGCGACGCGGCCAGGACGGCTGCCGCATCGCGCCCAGCGCCGCGCAGGACCTGCTCATCGTTCCCGCCTCGAAGCTGGAGGAGCACAAGGACTGGCAGCTGGTCTGCCCCGGACTGACGCGCAGCCCCGTTACCGACTACCGCTCGTGCAACGTGGAGGTGCAGCTGCCACGCGCCGTCTTCGTGCACTCCGACAGCACCGCCGTGGAGCAGGAGACAGTCAAGCATCTGTTCGCCCTGATCTCGGACAAGTTCGGGGCCAGAGGCAAGCTGGTTGACGTCTTCGCCTTGTTCGGCGAGTTCCAGGCGGGCCACAAGAACGTTCTCTTCGATGTGAGTGCCGCCTCGGTTGCATTTTAACCCCCTCTCTCATCCTTCTGTGTCCGTCTCCCTGCAGGACAATGCCGTCGAACTGGCCACGCAGCTGAAGAACGACATTCAGGACGAGCAGATCTACAGTGAGCTGCAGTGCGAGGGCAACAAGATCATCAAGCAGTGATCTCCATTCAGCTGGAGTGCTGCTCATCTCCAATCTCCCCTAAGCATAAATAAAATCCTTTTTTTTTTCTATTTTGAATACTCTTTTGGGTTTTAAATTATTGAAAGTGCTCCAAAGGGAGTTCCCATGAACTATTTCATTGGAATAGAGTGTTCCCGGGGCTCAGGAACAGTCCTGAGTCCATATAAAAAAAACTGTGACAGAAATGGAGTGTGTATCCAGCAACACGAGCGGGATCCACAGATTTATATCGATAGTTGCCTATCGGGACCGTGTGTGGACTGAGAGAACAGCTGATACCCAGCTCAGGAATATATACTTTACAATTCTTCCTGAAGTGAATGGTGCGAGATGTAGGCAAAAACTGTCCGCAAAACCAAAAAGAGAGATGAAAATTGTTCTTTTTTGTGTAGCAACCAACACAATCCACTTCATCATCAGAGTGCATTTTTTTCCTTTTTTAATTTTAGCTGAATTTTACAGTTGCCTCTGTAACAAAACACAGCTGATTCATCAACCCTGTTTTAGCTATGTTCCACACCCTCACGGAATAACTAGCAAATTCCTTGGCGCAATTTTCGGCGGTGCTGGAGACAGGCCTTAATGCAATTCAAGCGCTGAAGGAGAAGTGAGTCCAAGAAAGTTCTTTAAACGATGCCAAAGTGTTCTTTGGACGTGCTATCGATAGGTACTTCCGCATTCATGGCACTCATCCCACTCAATGCTGCTCCTGCAGAACAAACGAGCAGCTCGCACAGCTGCCAAGCACCAACCTTCTGCCTCCTTTTCAGGGCATCCTCTACAACATTGATTTGCAGTTTCAAAGGTTTAATCCTGCATGTAACAGGGCTGCCCTGGATCTCCGATCTCTCTCTCTCTCTCTGCCTATGAGATTTTAATCACAGAAAACGACAGGAAATGCCCTTCAATTACAGCAATTTTGTTGTTTAATTAATTAAAAAAAAAAGACACATTATATGTATTAATGGAACCAGCTAATGTATAATGTATATCATATATCATATCATATCATATATATATATATATCATATCTGTATGGTATATAGTTTCACATATCTGTGCTCGCGGTAAAATCGCCAGGGAAAATCGTACGTTTCGCAATAATTGCTTCTGCTTTAGTTTTGGATTGGGGGGGGATTGGGGACTTGGAGGGGATATTATGGGGATAATGGAGAACTTTTGAGAAGAAAATTCGTTGATCTACAAACTGCAGTTGGGTTCAGAGGAGCGGTAGGAGGCGCCCTCATCCTAGTTATCGGCGACGTCGCGTAGCTGCTGGGGCTGCTGCTGCTGCTGCTGCTCCGTGGACGATGATTCGCCGCCGCTGGGGATCTCCTCCTCCTCGGAGTAGTCCTCGTCGTGGGTGTGAGTCACCACAGTGGGTGTCGAGGGGCGTGTGTGGACAATGGAGCTCTAAGGGATACACAGATGCAATAAGAGAATTGTTCATGCGGCAAAAGGGGGTTGCTCCAGCCACTTACAGCACGATGCAGATCCTTGGCATCCTTGGCATCCTTGGCGGCTTGATCCTTGATGGCTTCCCTGATGACGTCACTGCCGGAGGCGCAGCGCGGTGCCTCCTCAATGGATGGAGCTGAGGGCGGCGGCTGGTGGGCCTGGTCGTGGGCCACCGTCGACTCGTGGGGCAGCAGCATGGCGGGGGCGCGGAACATGTACGAGAACGGGTAGTAGATGAGGTTGAGCAGGGTGGCGGCATAGACATCGGCGTACCGCACCACCTGGCTGGAGAAGAAGGTCTGGCGGGAGCCAGAGCGGAAGAGCGACCCCATCATGCCGTACGACATGTCCATCTTGTGGGTCACGTCCCGTATGCACGTGCGCAGCTGCGAGATGTCCGGCTTCTCTTTGGCACTCGAGTCGAGGTCGCGATAGAGGTCGCCCAGCTTGATGTCCAAGTTCTGCAGCTCCGCGAACAGCTGGCACTCGTCCGTCCACACGTGCAGCTCCCGCACCAGCTCCGGCACAATGAGGAAGGTGCGCCAGCCGCGGATCTTCTTCGACTTGAGTATGTCCCCGAAGATGTGATCGCCCACGTAGAGCACGTCCTTGCCCTTGGCGTTGATGAACTTGGTGAACAGCTCGCACGATCCGCCCGAGTACACCTGCCCCGGCTGCAGCGGCCCAATGTGTGTGCCGATCTTGAGGCCCCCCGTCTTCGTGTCCACCTGCCGCAGCACGGTGCCCTCGTCGAAGAAGAGCGGCTTGCGGGCATCCACCACGATCACATCGAAGTAGCTCTTCCAGTCCCTGTGCGGCTCCGCCGGAGTGGCGCCGTGCGGGAAGTCGAACAGGTACGACATGATCTCGTTGGTGTACGTGTAGTCGCTGTTGGTGAGCATGAAGAGCTTCGCTCCGGACTCCCGAATGCGTGAGAGGACCGTTGGCAGCCGTTCGTCCTTCTTCACATAGTGAGCCATGTTCTGCCAGATGGATGCCAGTCAATACTAGTAGTAGATCAATGAGTGGGTCGCTGAGGGGTAGCTCACCTGAGTGGTTCGACGCTTGAGGTCACCATCGGAATGCACCCAGTCGACGGCACGACGCACGTCCTGGAAAATGGACTTGTACGTGAAAAGGAAATCACCAGCTTTGATGCCGCGCTCAACGCTGAGAAGAGAGAATGAACAAATGGAACAGAGAGAGAGAGAATATAGAGAGAGAGAGTGAGCAGGGCATAGAAGAGGCAAGTGGAGTGTGGAGTTTGGAGGATGGTTGGAGGGTGGCTGGAGGGAGTATCTTGTATCTTACCGCACAAATTCGTTGCTGTTGTTAAAGAAGTCGGTGAGACAGGCGAGCAGATAGGTCTCCGGCAGATTGAAGAGTGTGTTCAGCACATAGACACGCGACTCGTCCAGTTTGAGAAACTTGTTCGGATACAGCTCGTACACCTGGTGGCTGTTCGGGCAGATAGATATATAGATATATAGATTTATAGATATAGATTATTGATTAAAAATGTAATCCGAACTGCGCTGGTTCCACTTACTGCTTGATGAACTCAAAGCCATGCACACAGACCAAGATGTTGCCGTAGGCATCGACCTTCAGCAGATTGCCGTAGAGCGTGTCAAACCAGAGGCCGCGCACGGGGAACGTGGGATCGTACTCAAACTGCAGTATCTCCTTGGGATATCCCATCGAAACGAGCCGCTCTTTGACCAGATTGAAGCCCAGCTGCTCGTACTGCGGCGACTTGTACTCTACAAAATGGCAAGGCAAATGGGTATAGAAAATAGAGAGAGGAAGTTGCATCAGTCAGTCAGTCAGTCAGTCAGTCGGTCAGTCAGTCATGTGGCAAGGGTATAGTTATAGCTTACCCGCCAGTGTGTAGTCCATGTCAAAGCCATAGTACTTGATGTTCTCCAGATGCAGGGATCTGTTCACGAATACTCTGCGGATAGAGGTAAAAAATATTCCGAATTTGAGTAAATTGTTGATGCAGATGCCAATCCCAGCCGAGAGCAGAGAGCAGCAGCCTTAATTTGTTGCATACTCTCTGGCGCTGAATGCGAAATTATTTTGCTCAAAAATTAAACTCAAAAAGTTGAAAAATTTTAAAAATAGAGAACTGAGAGGCGGCTTAGCTCTGCGAATCTAGCAATCGATCATTGATCATTGATCATTGATCAGTAGTTCCGAGAGTCAGGGGCTTACCAGCCTCCCACCCCCTGCGTTGCCCCACACATGGGCAAATCGCTTGGGAAATGGCGTGTAAAAACGAACTTCAGCTGTGGCAAAAAGGGGAAATGGGGGAAACGGACGAAAGAAAGTAGCGTGAAACGCGTGCGACATTCAATTTGCAACTTTGTCGTTGCTCTTTGATGGTTCCATACTCCCTTAGCCCCTTAGCCCCTTGGCCCCTTGGCCCCACGTTTCCGAGCAGCGCCTGAGGCGCACTCAAGCCCAATTCGCTGCGGCGCCTGCGGTCAGCAATTAGTGTAGAAAAAAAACTTGTTGTGGGCAGCCGCAGCAGCGACACGCCCCTTTTGGCTATGGCTGCTGACAGGCCCGCCGTTGCCTCTGCCCTCTGCCCTCTGCCACGCCTAGTCCAGCACGCCCGACTGGCCGACCGCAACCCCTTTTTGCGGAAAAACTCATTAGCAGCGGGCACGAGCCTAGGATATGGGCAAAGATATGTTTTCCGATACTCTCTCTCGCGCTCTCTCGCGCTCTCTCGCGCTCTCTCTTGCTCCTACGTCTATCGTGTGGGTAAGTGATAATCGGGAATTCGATGAATCGATTAATTCACAATTCATTCGTTCCCTGGGGATGGGAAGGTGAGTCCCTCCTCATTCAATCCATAGATGCATATGCATATCCCCCTTTTCGCATGTCTCTTCGCTGCCAAGGGAGGGCATGCAAATGTCGGTGCTTCATCGTAGCCCCGCAATTCGCCCTCTCCGCCTCTGGTCGCTGCTGTGCGTTTGTTTACTCCCCTGCCAAGTCCCCCTGCCTCTTGGCAGTTGTGTTCTGCAGTTCCCTTGAACATTTGCCAAATTTACCCTCCAGAGTGTTGGCAGGCCCGTGGACCGAAGCCTGATCTTATGAGTCCCCATCTCCGTATCGGTCTCCATCTCCGCTTTGTTACGGGTGCGCCTGCCCGCCTTTTTTTTTAACCCAAATTCGAACAAGCGAAATAGAGAGAGAGAGAGAGAGAGGGAGAAAGGGAGTGGTTGGTAGGGGGGCAAGGGTCATCGCAGCAATAATTAATTTTTTGTCAGCCGCAGCAGCAGCAGCAGCATCAGCGTTGCCAATTTTCACACACGCCAGGCGGCTGAAGCAGAAGCAGAATCAGAACCACGGAGCATGGAGCTCGGACCAGGCATCATACAACAGGCAGCAGGCAGCAGGCACCAGAAGAAAACGAGGAGCGGAGGGCTCCTTGAAACTTTTCTGAAATGCCACACGTGCCGGCGACAGGCAAAGCGGAACCGGCACCAGCAACCAGCACCCAGCACCCAGCACCCAGAACCGGATACAAGCGCCCACAGCCAGCGCGAGAGGAAAAGAGTACGCTGCGCTTCCGCCCGAAACGGGAATAGAGAAGGAGGTTTTTCAGGACAGCATTTGGAGCCCATTTCGAATGGGCTGAAAACTTTTACGTGGCAGCTAAACGACTCACAATTACTTCGTATGCACCTGCACCTGAAGAGCGACGCCAAATGGCAGGCATTCAGAGAGACAATTGCTTTCGTCTATATATATGTATATATATATATGTATATATGTAGAAAAGCAGACTCGTAGTCGTAGTCGTAGTCGTGTGTACTCGCACGAATCTAAATGTGCGATGCATTAAAATAAGATTATTAATAAGAGATCGCGGTTGGCTATAAGAGGCTATAAATAGAGCGACGCGTCGTTAATAAATGAAATGCAGCAAAAGCAGATCCAAATCGGATGCTCCGATGCTTTGGGCCAATTGTCGCCACAAATCGAATCGAATCGCATCGCAGCATCGCAGCATCGCCGCATCGCAGTCACAATTAAGGCGTGCCCAAAAATAGACGATGCCCCAATGTCAAGGCCATCTCTCGTTCTTTGGCGCCTCTTCGTTCCCTGGGACAAATGTTAGAAATAAATGTTGCACAGCTGTGTGTGTGCCCCCTCCCCACACACTCATTAATGATGGCGAAATTAAATCCTCGGAGGAGTGCCCGCAACGTACACACTGCGTATGTGCAACATTCATCATTCCGATGCAGCAATGAAGCAATGAAGCATTAGCTGGTTGGCTGACCCTTGTTTTTCCCATTCCGTTTCATTGATAACCGCATGGGGTGTGGGGTGTGGGGTGTGGGGGGGAGGGGGAAATCGAGTGCGTCAAAAGTGCTGCTGAAATGCTGATTGCATTTTTCACTCAGCGATCAACGATCGACAATCGTCGCGACGATCAATATTTGCGATGTGATCCGAACCAGAGGTCATCATTCATCATTTCATCATGTCTATCGCGTGGATCGTTGCAGCGACGTTGCATTGACGGCACTTTGAATGCTGATATGCACTGCACTCCTATGCACTGCTGCTGCACTGTACAGTGAGTATACGATCAGAGGAACACTCTGGAGGCAATCTAGCCCCTCACTTACGCATTCAGTGGCTGCTGCTGCTGCTGCTGCTGTTGCATGCCACTTGCTGATGCTGATGCTGTAGTTGCTGCTAACAAGGCCGTTTCCGTTTCAGTGTCGGTGTCAGCTGTCTTGGCCGTTACTGCCACTGCCACTGCCACTGCCAGTGACATCTGTGGCATGTTGCTGCTGCTGCTGCTGCTGCTGCTGCTGCTCCGTCTGGTCATTCTGCTGCCTTAAGCTGCTCTCTCCCTCCGTTTTTGTTGCATGCCAACTTCTTTCGCCGCAACAGCAGCCGCAGCAGCAGCATCCACTGAGGCTGCAGCAACTGTACTCCAGATGACGCCTGTGGCTGCTGCTGCTGCTGCTGCTGCTGCTGTTGTTGTTGTTGTTTATGTTATGCATTGCAGAGGATCCTGGACAAGTGACAATCACAATGAATAGAGGATGCGGGGAATTGGGTGGGGGTGGGAGCGGGGGCTGTACTGGTGGTTTTCTATGCAAAGTGTGTGCGATTTTCTCTCCTCTTTCTGCACAGCTTTCATCTTCATTTCATCTGTTGTGCTGCTGCTGTGCTGCTGCTGCTGCCGAAAATGGAAATTTATGGCTGAATGCTTATCGCTTTCGACCCTTTTCTGTGCTGAAGAAGAAACGAGCAGGGTGGGTCCTGCCCAGCCCTCAAGGCTGTCAAGGTGCTGCTGCTGCTGCTGCTGCTGCTAGTGGCTTTGGCTATCCTTGCCACAAATAGTGTCTGCTGTGAAACTGCAGCTGACATTGCAATGACAACAACAACAACAACAACAATAGCAATAGCAATGGCATTATTTTTGATTAGATTTACGCAATTGCTTGCCCAACCCGCAGCCACCCCCAACAGAAGGAGCAGAAGCAGCAGGAGCATTGGCTGCAGGAGCAGCAGGAGCCAGTGGAAGCAGCAGTGGCGGAAGGAGCATCACATAATGGTCATAAATCGCTGTCATCCCCCCCCCCCACCACATCCCACTCCATCCCACTCCATCCCTAAGGCAATTTCTCAGGGCCAATTTCTTCGCTTGTAAAATCAAAATTCATATCATGCCAATGACAAAATCTAAGAGTTTATCAATTGCTTTTACCATTTCCCGCGATTCTCCCATTTGCCCCACTTTATTTTCCCCCATTTCCCGCAGCAGCAGTACGACTTTAGTTTCCCCCCCTCAGACACGTGGGCGCCACTGGCCAACGTATGCGTCCCCCCAACCCCAAACCCGTCCATTGTTGCCGTTTCTATTTGCAACACAGTCCCCCCGCATCATTGTCATCGTGCAGCTGTAGCTGTTCCCCAATTGAGACCTTAAGCATCACACACTCACTGCTGACGTTGCCACTGCCACTGCCACTGCCCCACATGCCCCACATGCCCCACATGCCCCTCCCTCAAAGGGAATGCCAGCAGCTGGTCAAAGAGTTGAAGCATCCTTCTGCATGGGTTCTCAAGTACAACACAGCATTCGATTCCAAGCGAATGAAGGAGCCTGCTCGGGGTTAGTTTAGATCCATAGGATCCCCAGCGAAATGCACTCATCCATCAGGAAATTAGGGGGAAATCTTTCCCATCTAACAATTTAATTGGTCCCACAACTGATTCGATGGAAATGCCCAGCATCCGCCGGCTGATGATCCATTAATCGGGTTTTATCAGAGAGCGGTCAAGGTCATGGCTGGACAGGCCAGGCCAGGCCAGGCCAGGATCTCTGCTTTGGAGCAGTCTCTGGAGCTTGGAGCACTGCCTCAATGCCAATTAAAATCAAAACAAATGCGCTGAGGGGCCCCCAGCATCCAATCATCAAAGCCTCCGTCGCCGACATTCTCCAGCGGTCACCTACGACGCCGCCTTAGTGGCAAAGGTAGGGGTAGGGGTAGGGGTTGGGGTAGGGGGAGAGGGAGCAGTCACGATTGTGGCACAATTGTGGCGATAATTGAGTTAATAAGCATAACCACAAAACCAAATAGTCGTCGAGGAACCCACGCACATGCGGAGGGTCAGTGGCAGAGGCAGAGACAGATGCAGAGGGAGAGGCAGAGGGAGAGGGGACACACACACATGAGAGACCGTGGCACACAGCAGCAGATGCGGGCAGAGCGTAACAAGAGCAGCAGCTGCTTACACTGGACAACAGGGACAACTCAGGGACAGGACTGTGATCTCTGCTTCTCCTCCTTCTGGCTTTCTTTGCCACATTGGCCAGGAGTTGAGCTTGTGGCTTGTGGTTCAAGGGCCCTTCAAAGTTACGTGCCCAAGTTCTGTGGTGAGTAGTGTACGCCAATGAGCTGTTTAGCGGAGGCATTCTGTTGGGGGGCAACCTCCAGTTCACTTCCGACACGGGTCCACGTCTAATTAAAGCCTTAATTGCCACACAAACACTTGCAAATTCAGCAGCAACAGCAGCAGCAGCAGCAACAGCAGCAACAGCAACAGCAGCAACATGTGCCCCAAGCATCCGAAAGTTTCAGGAGTAAGGGGATGAGGTTTACACGGATATTGGAGTTACGGGAGCAGGATCCTTTTTGGGGGGAGGAACAGTATGAGCGAATGAGCGCCACGTCACGGAGAAACACCAGCCCGAACAGCACTCGAAGCGAACACAAACTGAGGGGCAGCCGCCACCATCTGTGGCAGTCCACCATCAAAAACGGAACACTAAAACGAAACCGCCACTAACGACCCATTCAGCGACCCATCCTCTCCACCCCTCACTGCTCCGCGTCGTTCCATCTACTATTCTATCGGTAATATTTGTACCCATAATGGGGGGGGGGGGCTCTGTGTTATGCGTGTGACAATTTTTGGGCTTTCGTTTTCCCTAGTTTTTGGGGATACAAAAAAAAATATTAATAGTAATTCAATTTTCGCGTGCGGCCTTGCAAGAAGGGAAGGGTACGTGCCAGGGGGGGATGCCGAGGCGAGGTCTCAATTGATTAAAGGCAAAGGCACTTTGGCATGTGAATGGCGCTGGCTTAATTAAGCAGCAGCGCGGGTGCAGCAAGCACCCTCCCCCGTTCATTGTGCAGCTGATTTCAGACCCACACTTCCATGGGGGGGGGGCATATCCTTATTCCCCAATTGAATTTATTTCCATCTTCAGATCACAGTTTAGAGTTCAAAACTTCATAGGGAGATCCTCCATTCATATCGGCACTTCCTCCAGAATTTTCCCCTTTTTTTCAGGTATCTCCCAGGACTCGTGGCTGATTGATTCAGCGTAAAAAACTAACTTGCTCTCGATCATTTCGCCCTTGAAGGAATGAAGTTTCCACTCAAATAAAAGTCACGACTCAACGCTCCTCCCGTTTGTCTGCTCCTGCTCCTGCCTCCAGGATGCAATTGTGGCTGGCACACGCGTCACCATCGCTTAGGAGAGCAGAGCAGAGCAGAGGAGAATGTCATTTACATTTTAATGATGCAATGCCAAGGCGAGACACGCATTGAGAGAGAGAGTCAAGGCCAAAGGCAAAGCCAAAGCCAGTGCCACACGCCACGCCCACCAATCCTGGGCCTGCCAATTTGCATAAATGTCATAAACAAAAGACGGCAACGGCAACAGCAATGGGCGACATAATCAAGAACGAATTGCCGAATTAAATATTACATTGACCACGAAATCGCCACCCTCCCTGCCACATCTGCCTCTGCCTCTGCCGCCGCACATCTGCAATCTAAATATATATACGATGATAAATCAGGTGAATATATTCCGAATATATGTACATATACAAGTACATATGCAGATTTACGTGTGGCAAGTGGAAATTGTGTGCGTGGGCTGTACACTTTCCAATCTGCAGTTGCGACACATGCAACAAATTAGCTTATTTCCGAAGCATTTTCTTCATTAATCAAATGGCTTTGCCTCAAAATCAAAACATGATAATAATTATCAGGCTTTTGGGCGTGGCACAGCCCACACACACACACACAGAATGACTGAGCGAAGAGTGAGCCAAGGAAATATTCAGAGATAAATATTCCCCCATTTGAATTACAATTTTAGGAAGAAATTTCATCGGCAACCTATAACGAGATTCCGTTCAGTTTTCTTTGTTTTCTCAGTTCTGGGACTTAATTTTCTTTGTTGTTTTCATATTTTGCCACTCAGTGGAAAATGTTTATTTGTGTCCCCACAATAACATCTGGAAATGTGAGCTCTTCGGGCAAGGGGGGGGGGGGAGTTTTGTAAATAATATTTTCCATAAGTTTCCATTTATCGTCTATTCACGATACTCGTATTTAATACTCTTCCAACCCACCCCCCTTTGGATTGTTTTCAATTTCAATCCCAACTCCAATTCCAACTTTGTCGATCTGCCCGCAAAGAGGAGCGGCCTCTCCCCCCCCTTCCCTTTCATGTGCAGGGGCATTGAAAATTTCGCATAAATTTCCCATTGAATAAACAGCAGTCGCCACGCAGTGGCCACAAATAATACAGGAATACACGGGGGGAGGGGGTGGGGGTGGTCACAAGTAGTAGTAATAGCAGAATAATAAGTTGGGGCTCATGCAGCAAAAAAAAATAATATAAATGAAAAAGTTGCCGCAATTAAAGAGGAAACTGCATAAAACATAAATAAATACATATACATATGTATGTATATGTATGTACATATGTACATATATATATATGTATACCCATGGGGCACGGAGGATGAACGTTGGAACGGGGGCACGTTGCACCCGAGGCAGACAAAAACATATTAAAATATATTTTTCTCATGTGAATTTCAATGGAATGCAAATTGCATTTAAGTTTTTCTGCTGCTGCTGCTGCTGCTGATGCTGCAGTTGGTCCTGCCCCCAGGTCCTGCTCCTGCTCCTGCGCTCCATGTACAGCTCCTGTCGCCGTTCGCGGCGTTTCCGTTTCCGGCTACGCAATAAAAGTTGCCAACTACGTGACCTCCCCCTCCAATCCCAGAGGGCTGCAACAGGGGGAGGTGGATATTTCTGATTTAAGACAATCCTGATCCTAGGAGGCCATCCCAAAGGTGAAGTTTCCACAGACAGGTGCACACAGGACGGAAGGAAGGAAGGAGGGAGGGAGGGAGGGAGAACATTGTTTGCATTCGAAAGCGCCAGAGGGAGGTGGAGAAAATTGAGAGAGCAAAAGCTGCAGGTCACGTCTTGTGCCTGAATTAAATCGTTATGTGAGGGGACCAGGGGGGGGGGGTTTCCTGGCTGTGGCATAAATATGTCAATTCAATCTATCAATGATTGAAATGATTGAGGGGTTGCCGAGGCGCCGGAGGCTGGGGGATGGCAGGCGTCAGGGGGAAGCCAATCGTTTTGATTGGAGGCAAAGATTAGCGGGCAGCGCCACATTAATGCAAATGTCACGTTGACAGACCCACAAATTTGAATTAATTGACAGAAAAAACACGAGGGAAACCCTCCCAAGAGGCGAAGGGTGGGGATGGGTGAAAGGATGTAAACAGCGGCAGCAATTAGGCAGAATGCCAGACAGCTTTCGGGGCGATTATCTCTATCTGTGCATCTGCATCTGTGGTATCTGTAGCCAAGGGCATGCTCATAACTATGTAAACAGCAGACGCGGCTGTCAACAGGCACCCCCCGGAATCTACCCCAGGGGCCTCCTTGCTGCCCCTCGTGGCACTTTCTGCACGCTCAAAAGTATGCAACGAGAAATTGCCAAACGACAGGAAGCGGAGGGTTTTCCTTCCGCCTTCGATAAGAAATATCTGTATCTGCAGTATCTGTATCTGTATCTGATCTGTGTCTGTCTCTCAGCACCGCTGAGAATCTGAACCGAAATGGCGATGACACTGAATGGAATAGATATATAAAAGAACAGATATACATACATATGTATGTAGGTATGATACAGGGTATCATTATATTAGATCCTATAATCATTGCCCTAAAGTGACTCAGGGAGAGATAATTAAATCCGAAAGAGAGAGGGAGTGAGAGAGAGAGTGAATGCTCACCTGTGACCCAGCTCACGCTTGTGGCCATGGAAACTGGCGACCCCATCGAGGCTCATCGTCGCCAGTCCATTCAACACCGACTGATCCATGTCCGTCTCCCCGATGGTCTGTGTCCGCTCCCGCTCCCGTTCCCGTGTGGAAATTGTGGAGCTGGAATGTTTCTGCTGCTTTGGTAGATTCGGCTGCTTCGGCTGCGGCATTTTCCGACGGAGGAGCAGGAAGTGCTCAAGAAGAATGCCAAAAATGCGGCGCGGCGTCGCTGCTTCTGCTGCTGATACGAGAGCAGGAGAGCGTGTGGGTGGAGAGTCCGCGAATACAGACGGCAGGCAGACGTGATAAAGAGCGATAAAGCGATCTTATCAGGTGGTGGACGTCGCGACGACACAAACGGAAAAGTGAGTGAGAGAGAGAGAGAGAGAGCAAGAGCAAGAGCAAGAGGAGAAGAGAGGCTTGGAATGATCTCGTGCGTAGCAGAGTTTTCCCCACTGTCCGGCGTCCGGCGTCGGCTTATCACAGACCGAACCACGATCGGAGCAATTCCAGTAATAACAGAAACAAAAAAAGGAAAAACAATATCTCGATCTCTTTATGGGGCGTTTCGGCAAAGCGAACAATTTCGGTCAACGTTCGAATTTCAACTGAAAGTGCAATATAGAAATGGAGGAAGGAAGCAGTGGAAGAGGCCCCACCAGCCCCAAGCAACAGCAACAGCAACAGCACCAGCCACCAGTACCAGCTGAGCGAGTGCGAGAGAGCACCACACATAAGCCAAGGTGTATGTCATTCAAGGTGTGGCCTACCCACTCTGTCACACTCTCTGTGTCGCACACATACTAGGCATGCAACTTTAAGCAGACGGGAAGAGCCTAGAAGAGCCAATTGGAGAGAGCGCTCTTTGGGAATGCCTCACCATATACAACATACACCTTGGCTCGGGCAAAGCAACTGACGCATACGCTCTCCGTACGACTCTCTCTAACTCTCCCTTTTAGCAGCAGCAGCAGCAGAAGCAGCGCCGAAAGCTTTGCACGAGAGAGTGAGAGAGAGAGAGAGAGAGAGAGCGCTGCCGCTCTAGCCACTGACTGTCTAGGTATCGTATTCGCCGCTCTGCCTCCCTGTCCCGCTCTTGCTGACGGTGTCAACGTCGACGACTGTCTTGTCTTGTTTTTGTTGTTTCTGTCCCGTTGTTTTGATGCCTTTTATGCAATAAACAAAAAATACGTATTTTGCTACCCTACCCCATTTGAGGCGCACATTGCAGCGGGCATGCTCTACCGGGGCCTACATATTGTGGATAGTCACAGTCACACGGAGCTAATGGCATAATGCCACGAGAAAGCAAACCCTTGTGTAGGGTATGTATTCGCTGTGACGCAGATCTCACCTCACTGTACCTGTTACCCACTGTATCTTACGAGTAGATCGTTTTGCAAGGGTTCTATCTTGTCGCCACGCTTGCACTCGAACACCCACTTGGGACTGGGACTGGGACTGGGACGACTGGCATACATACATACATGCGAGTAAAAGTACGAGTACGAGTACGAGTACGAGGTACTACTCCATGGAAAATTTAGTGTGTCAGGCAGAAAACGCTTGGCAAGAGCCGAAAGTGACGAAGAAATGGAATGGTAATGTGTATTTATGAACATATGTATGTACATATGTACGTGTATCTGTGTGTGTGCATATATACGGTAATGCTGCCCACACGACTCCCTCCGCAACCCAATCATGAAATACAACAAGTTTCATAGATATATGTATGTACATACATATGTACATAGATGCGTGGGATGGTTCGCGACTTGGCTAAGTGGAATTTTTGGAGTGAAACGAGATTCGATTCTACAGATATTCCGCGCAGCTACAGCTACAGCTACAGTGCTTTTCAATAGGAGGCCATAAATCCACGCACGCTCACTGGGGTTTTCTGTGTGTTTTGATATGCAAATCGGATTGACACCTTTTTACGTCCAGCCACACAGCCACACACAGGCATTCAGTCGAAACAGTATAAGCTCTTTGTGGCAGACCAGAACCCATCCCACACCATCCCATACCATATACCATACCTCGGCAGCTGTCCGTCATGCCAACTCTTACTGTATAGAGAGATACTCGCATAGATTTATGAATATTAATTATGCGCCCAATTATAATATTGATGTGCGAGGCGTGTCCGAGTCTGTTCATAAATATTTCATCAGAAATTTGCATATTTCCCTTCACTGTCCCCCAGTGCTGATAGAGCGCGGAGTGCGGGGAATGGAGTGCTCTATAAGCAGCTTCGGTTCGTTTACCAAGTATATATAGACAGAGCTGAGGCTTCTCTCTTGCTCTTCTGCTCTCTTCTGCTCTTCTCTGCTCTTCCCATTCACTTACTTAACACCTTCGATCGAGACAAACTTAAAAGCGTTCTTCCAAATAACAAGTACAACTCAATTACGTGTACAAAATAAGGGCGGGAATCAGAATTCAGACCAACATGTTAGGAAAATGTGTGATCCTTTTTTTGTAATACCTAAAATTCCTTTAAATACTAAAAAATACTGCAGCCTGAAATTTGAATGCTTATCAGCGGGGGAGCTAGGAATTGATTTTGTCTAAAACATAGTTTCTTGGTTAAAGATTCTTCGAAATCTTTGTAGATTCCGATTCTGGTGAACGCTTATCACGTTATTTGATTTTCCCATACATATTGACCCGCCCTACGTGTACATGCGGGTACATACATACATATGTATATGTATGTCTCAGCCCCAAAAGACCTCTCTCTTTCGCTCTTTTGCTCTGCTTTGCATCGTGTCAAAGTCACACACACACACAGAGACACACTGAGAAAGAGATACAGATACAGATACAGACACAAATACACAGGCACCTGTATGCAGTTGCAGTTAACTCTCGAACGGCTCAAGTGCGCCCCACTTAAAACTGCATCGACGCCTAACAAGCCCCATTCAAGCTGCTGCCCCTCAACCCCACCCCACCCCCCCAACTAGACAGCTCTCTTTTCCGCTCTGTTGTTGTCGACCCCTCTCGGAAAACCGGGTGATAATGGGATACAGCGTCACAAAATATTGTAATCAGCTAAAACAAAAAATGGCAAAGACAGGCCCATCAGTGATATGGAAGCACTGAATACCCTACAGGAAATGCACAGCATGAAATACTCTATACAGAGTATACACGTGTACAATGTTCTAATACTTTCCAGTCAAAGGCATTTTCCAGATTAAACCCACAACAACAAACTCTGACAGCACACACACAGAGCAGACTTGCTAAACTGTGATTGCCGCCGACTCAAAGCTGTAGCCCAACAGGATGGGTGGCCTTGTCTGGTATACCCTCTGGCATAGCCATAGCCAGAGCCCACACTAGTGCGCATCTCTATCAACAGCAGGTTGTTAAGTGAACGTACTACGAATATTCGTACTCATACGTCCCCGGCCTCCTGCTACATACATATGTATGTACGTATTTATGTATGTACATTAGAGTGGGCTGAAAGTCCAAAACTTTGTAAATCTTAAGCCTTAAGGCCCGCTAATAGAAAGTTGTGTTAAAAGATTCTAAGAAAAGGGCAAACAAAATGTTTGAATACGGTACTCAAAATCTGCTTAACTTGGCCAAAAGCGAATATTTTGACCTCGATGCAACATGGTCAAACGTTAGCCGCTTTACAAAATTTTGTTTGCCCTCGCTTTAGAATCCCAGATTAAAAAGTTTTTGATTTTCAGCCCACTCTAATGTATTTATGTATGTACATATGTGCTGTGTATGGATTAGCTTGCTCCGTCCGTCTGCCTTTGTTGTCACGTAGAGTAGAGCGCTGTGGTTTTTGTTGTTGCCCATTGGAGATAAGCTGATAAGGCAATAGAAAACCGCTCGCTACGGCATTGACCATGGAAGATAGGGCTCTCTCTCTCTCTCTCTCTGCTGTCTCTATTTGTGTTGCACTCCCTTCGCATCTTTGCAGAAATCTCACATACACTGACAGGAATGATTGTCGTTGGCGAAGGTACTAAAGTTGAGAACATTTTGGGAGGACATAGCTATAAAATATATGTATATGGCTATGGCTATACTGGTTATGGTATTCCATCCATTCATTCATCCACCATTCATCGAAATAAATAATTATACCCGTACTCAAAAAGAGTTGAGGGGTATATTAGATTTGTGATAAAAGTGGATGTGTGCAACGCCCAAAAGGAAACGTTTCCGACCCCATAAAGTATATATGTATATTCTTGATCAGCATCAATAGCCGAGTCGATATAGCCATGTCCGTCTGTCCGTCTTGATGAGCGCTTAGATCTCACAGACTATAAGAGCTAGAGCAACCAAATTTGGTTTCCAGACTTATGTGATATCACACTGCCACAAGTGTATATCAAAATTTCGCCCCGCTCAAAAATGTATATGCTGACTGAGTACGGGTATCAGTAGAGTCGCGTCCCCAGAAGCGACTCACACGTTCCTTCTCGTTTTTTTTGTTTTTTGTAATCTAAAAACTTGTTTCATGTTTTGGCTGTATTATTAAGGATATATAAATAAATAAATATATAAATTTAAGTGCATACGCTTATTGTTTCAGAGAAAGCTCTAGACCATATGCACATGACCCCAAAATTAATTTCTAGGCACTCGTATACATATTTGTAAGTCCTATTCCTGCTCTGCAGCAAACCCTGGAGGATTGAGTGGGTGTTGCCCCCAAATAGGGTTTTCAAGTGGGGGTGGGACTTACCTATGGGCTGCATGGCGGTAATACTTCTTGGGCAGAGCCGAGCTGGGGCCGGGCGTATTGGGAGCCGAGTCGCTCATGTCGCACTGAAATTAAAGTCGGAAGGAATTAGTAATCAATTCAAACACCCACCACACACACACATGGATTTCGGGGAAAAGGAAGAAGGCGTGGGAGAGTGGGAGAGGAGAAGGAAGGCAGCAAAGCAGCAAAGGAAATCCAGAACAAAACGACACGAGGGTAAAGAAACAAAAACAGGCAGTGCACAGACAGACCTGACTGACTGACTGACAGACACAATTGGCACAAGTTTAATGAGTTTTTGCTGCAGCTGATTGATATGTTCGTTCTCTTTCCCTCCTTGTTGCATACATATGTATGTGTGTGTGTGTGTGTGTGTGTGTCGTGTCACTCTGTCTCTATCTGTCTCTGTCTGTTGTGTACTTGTACTTACTTGGTAGGGCAGATCGCAGTACTCCCGGTCGAACGCCTTGAAGGGGGCCGCCGGGCCACAATCTTCGGGTGACATCCCCTGCATCCTGCCTAAGCTGGCATAGGCGCCGCCGCGGCCACTACTCCGGTTGCAATTTGGGGCGCTTCTATCAGTGCTGATGTGACTGTGACACAGCAGCAGGTTGCCGTAATGAGAATTTTCGACTGAAGGAGCTGTGCTTTTTGTTTTTCGGCTGCTTGTTAGTTGGCGGAACTGCAAAGTGTTTGTTATACGGCGTAAGTTTCTCATTTTCCGGCGTAAGCATGAGTGGGTGGATTGGAGTGGAGTGGATCGGGTATATATAATGTGTATTTCTTTTGTCTGTAGTTTGCGTGCGGGTGTGTGAGAAACAAACTAAAACAAATGCAGGAAGATGTTGTTGTT